TTATCATATAACTGACCCTCTCTGCCGCTAACCTCTATTTATTATCATATAACTGACCCTCTGTGCCACTAACCTCTATTTATTATCATATAACTGACCCTCTGTGCCACTAACCTCTATTTATTATCATATAACTGACCCTCTGTGCCTCTAACCTCTATTTATTATCATATAACTGACCCTCTCTGCCACTAAACTCTATTTATTATCATATAACTGACCCTCTGTGATCACTAACCTCTATTTATTATCATAAAACTGACCCTCTCTGCCGCTAACCTCTATTATCATATAACTGACCCTCTCTGCCGCTAACCTCTATTTATTATCATATAACTGACCCTCTGTGCCGCTAACCTCTATTTATTATCATATAACTGACCCTCTGTGCCACTAACCTCTATTTATTATCATATAACTGACCCTCTGTGCCACTAACCTCTGTTTATTATCATATAACTGACCCTCTGTGATCACTAACCTCTATTTATTATCATAAAACTGACCCTCTCTGCCGCTAACCTCTATTATCATATAACTGACCCTCTCTGCCGCTAACCTCTATTTATTATCATATAACTGACCCTCTGTGCCGCTAACCTCTATTTATTATCATATAACTGACCCTCTGTGCCACTAACCTCTGTTTATTATCATATAACTGACCCTGTGTGTCACTAACCTCTATTTATTATCCTATTACTGAGCCACTAACCTCTATTTATTATCATATAACTGACCCTCTGTGCCACTAACCTCTATTTATTATCATATACCTGACCCTCTGTGCCACTAACCTCTATTTATTATCATATAACTGACCCTCTGTGATCACTAACCTCTATTTATTATCATATAACTGACCCTCTGTGCCACTAACCTCTATTTATTATCATATAACTGACCCTCTGTGCCTCTAACCTCTATTTATTATCATATAACTGACCCTCTCTGCCACTAACCTCTATTTATTATCATATAACTGACCCTCTGTGCCTCTAACCTCTATTTATTATCATATAACTGACCCTCTGTGCCACTAACCTCTATTTATTATCATATAACTGACCCTCTGTGTCACTAACCTCTATTTATTATCATATAACTGACCCTCTGTGCCACTAACCTCTATTTATTATCATATAACTGACCCTCTGTGCCACTAACCTCTATTTATTATCATATAACTGACCCTCTCTGCTGTCCTCCTGCTTTCTATTTATAATTGGCACAAGTCCTGGCAACAGTATTAGAGGAACATTATTTGCACTAAAGAGAGTTTCATACTCAGTTATTGCCTTGTTTTTAATAAAGGGAATCCCCTACTACCCGGTCCTAGGCTGGGAATCCCCTACTACCAGGTCCTAGGCTGGGAATCCCCTACTACCCGGTCCTAGGCTGGGAATCCCCTACTGCCCGGTCCTAGGCTGGGAATCCCCTACTGCCCGGTCCTAGGCTGGGAATCCCCTACTACCCGGTCCTAGGCTGGGAATCCCCTACTACCCGGTCCTAGGCTGGGAATCCCCTACTACCAGGTCCTAGGCTGGGAATCCCCTACTACCCGGTCCTAGGCTGGGAATCCCCTACTACCCAGTCCTAGGCTGGGAATCCCCTACTACCCGGTCCTAGGCTGGGAATCCCCTACTACCCGGTCCTAGGCTGGGAATCCCCTACTACCCGGTCCTAGGCTGGGAATCCCCTACTACCAGGTCCTAGGCTGGGAATCCCCTACTACCCGGTCCTAGGCTGGGAATCCCCTACTACCCGGTCCTAGGCTGGGAATCCCCTACTACCCGGTCCTAGGCTGGGAATCCCCTACTACCCGGTCCTAGGCTGGGAATCCCCTACTACCCGGTCCTAGGCTGGGAATCCCCTACTAGCCGGTCCTAGGCTGGGAGTCGCCTAGCCGGTCCTAGTATTGGAATCGCCGAGCCGGTCCTAGTCTTGTGCACGATATAGAAATCGCATACTCCTTGCTAGCCTTGTCTACAAATTAGGAATAGCGTGCCCCTTACTAGCCCTTTTGTATACATTAGTAATATCAAACTCATTACTAGTCCTATATACAATTTTTATAAGAATAACTTGCAAAATGCTTATCCTTTTTCTGGTATAGTAATAGCAATCCCAGTACTTATCTTGTTTACAAAATAATATTAATTGGAATGGCACCTGTCTTGTTTGCTATATTGCAATAGCACCCCCAGTATTTATTTACCTTACCTACCGAAGTGCTTTACCATCCCAATTACTTGTCCAATCATAGTGCAAAGTCCCCCCTCCCCCCCACAGTATTCTTCCAGTCTACCATAGTGCGATAACATTTTGGGTATCGTTGCTGATTTTGACCATCATAATTGATACATGAAATCATTTGCCTGTTGATGTATTTCCTCCAGGCAATCTCTTGTTTACTCATATAGCTCCTCCTTGTAATTCCTTCTTATTTAAATGCTGTTTATTTTGCAGATTGTATAGATCTGCTTACTGGCACTAAACCTCCTGTAATGGAATAAAAGTCAAACAATATACTTTATACATGAAAGCTGCTAGAGCATCAACCCCAGGAGATCTGAGATCCGAGAACAACACTGGTTGTTGAAGCAATATTACTGAACTATTCACTGTCTGCTGAAACTCTATCCTCAGAACATTGATGTCCGATGTCCTGGATGGTCTTTGGTGACCTTTGCAGATGCCATCACTTCTGACATCGTACATATCTTCCCTTTTATTTTTTTCTCTCTTAAAAGTTTCAACTTCAACAAGTTCTCTAAAAGATCAATAATATTTTACAGTAGCCTCTGCCCCCTGCCTATGCAGATTTGCTCCAGGGACCTATCATCATCCACTCCAAAAGGACTTAATGTATGGTTCATAAGAATGAAATTCTTCGACACTTCTAGCCAATTGATTGTCCTTCCTGGAGGTGCTGGAATAACCTCCCACTGATGATTTTGACGTTACAATAACAAAATACAAACATCTCAGGTGGAAATGCATTATTTTAACTAATTTCTAAAGTTATTGTCTTAATGTGCCAGTATTGGCTTTTCAGCTAATGGTTTAGCTTGTACTGAAAAATGCGGTGTGTGTATATACTTTGTAGTTTAAATATTTTTATATTTTTTATGCATTTGTAAATGTATTCACATTCAGGATTAATGCATGATCAAGATTTTTCTTTTATGTGTGTGCTTTAGAGGTCCTCCTTCTCAAACTGTTTTAATGATTTATTTTGTGCAAAAAGAAGTTTGTCTTAGCAAGCTAATTATTTTTTTTTATTGAACAAATAATCAGATTTTTTTTATTTTTCAAAGAATATTTAAATCTTCAGTATATACAAGGCCCATATTTAATAGCGGACCTTGTACCTTGTATTTTTTTTTTCCCCTTCCTCTTTCTATATAACTTTTTAAAATGAGCACCCAGGGGCCGACTACCGACAAAGGTCCAAGAACTGGTCTCACGTGCCAGGAAAATTATGCCTGTGCTGGTAATGATGAGGCTGTGTTTGAGTGTGATGAGTGCAATACTGTCCAATGTCAACGTTGTGAAGAAGTATTGCATAAACAAGAAAGACTTCAGAATCATGAGCGTACTCGTATATCCCTTGGCTATGTCCCTTTGTGCGCTGTTTGCAAAGGAGCCAATCCCAGTACCATGCAGAACAGCACAAAAGATGCTAAGCAGCGGGCTGCAGTTAGATGTCTTTCCTGTAAGATTAACCTCTGTGCCGAATGTCAAAAGAATACCCACTCTAGCGGAAACAAGAGAAAGCATCCTCTGTCCGTCTACCAAGCCTTGAAGAGTCCAGTGCAACAAGAAGTTAAAGGGGACGAGGAGAACCTCAAAAAGAAAATGACCGAGAATGCTGTCAGTTTTCTTCTTGTAGATGAAACGGAACAGATTCAGGTATGCTTATTTTGGAATCCATTTTGTTGACCTAAATATAGAGATTTGAATTGTTGAGCAACGTATAGGATGTTCTAATGTGTTTTTAGTTTCACGTAATCTGAGAAAAAACAAAAACCCATATCCGTTTTCATATGTGAGTATTTTGGCTACTGGTGTCTTTTTATTCTGGTTGACATGTTTTAACCTATTCTGGTCGAGTGATATTTCTAGATAGCCATAACATGTGAATTGACGATTAATGGTTCTAAATAAGTTTAATCATTTTTATCCCCCACTCCCATGTTTACATTTTGATTTGTTGTATAGCTTAGAAAAGGAAAGAGAGCAGCAAGTTTGGTAGACGGTCAAGTAGGATTCTGGTGGAAATCCATCCGGAAGCACTAGGGACCAATATTAAGCCCATGCTATCTGTAAGGCATCGTGTCCTATAATCCGTATTGTTTTGTGAAACTGTAGATCAACTTGACCAGCCTCTTTCCCGATTGTCCACAGGGTTCCCTTAAATAGGCACTTGTGGCCCAACATTACTCTTCTATATAACGCAGCCATAGCCCATCCAAGCAGGTCACATGAGCCTCAGCCACCTCACTCCATGCAAGCCACTGAGCTGCTACAGTTGATATCCAGCCCTTCAGCCAGTCTGGGGACCTGATGTCCCCCGCACAACAGGGCTCATAAAACAGTGTGCTTCTCTACACCCCCCTTCCCCTCCCCCCCCTTGCTTAAATTGGAGGTAATGGTGAATTGAGTCTGTCAAAAAGGATGCAGGGAAATGCAGCAGCAAGCCAACGACCCTAGAATCAAGTATCGGCCTCCAAACAAGTCTTGTGTTCCTTTCCTCAGTGGCTTTAAGCTGCAAACCTAATGGCGGCAGGGCAAACCTGAGTACAGTTGTGATGGATATGCAAAGTCTGATAGGACAACATGGGAGTGGGTCCCTGCTGGGCAGGGGTGAGCGATGTGTCTGCATTTATTCTGGTGGGCATCAGATAACAGATTAATAACAAAGCCATATTAAATAATAGTGGTGGATTTAGGGCATCATTCCCAAGTCAGAATGACCACATTTTGTATTCTAAAGCGATCTGGACTGTAAGAGCTTTTGGACCGTACATGGTGTAGTAGTCTTTAAATTCTGTTGTTATGATTTCATTTTGTATACTGAACATGATCTCAATACAAGAAAGGATGGTGTATAATTCAGGATTGATAAATTCTGAGCGTTAAGACCTGCAGCTGTGGAAAATAGCCTCTGAACAGCATTTGATATGTTTTTACATGAAATATCTTGTTTATATTCTATTGAATATAGCCTTGTGTACAGTTGTGTAACCTTTTTTTTTTTTTTTCTCACTGCTTAAGTTCTGTAAAATATCTCTTTGCGAATCTTTTATTTGAAATAATTTTTATGAAACTATGATCAACCGATTTCATAACACAATCGAATAGCAGTGTTATTGTAATTAGATTGGGGTTTTCTCAGTATGATCCGATTCCAAATTTTTTTTGTTTGACATTATAAATTTTTTTTATTATTTTGCATCCAAATTATGAGGGTTAGTAAATAAACAAAATAATGTAGTAATAAAGATCCAACTATATAGAAAAGGAGAAAAAGAATAAAAAATAAAATTCAAAGTGTGACTGTGTATTGGAGCTATCAGGGGAAAGGATATATGAGCGAACTTGGGAGGGGTGCTAATACTGGAGAGGGTTGTTCTTACATGACATTATCTTCCTTTCTATATTTGTTTTTTGTATTTCTTGTCCTAAAGAACTTCATTGAAATATTTAGGGAGTTGTTTGTTTGTGTCTTTTTTGTGAAATAGATCTTTATTGATACAGCAACTGTGTATAATACTGAATTTCCTACACAAAGGAAAAGTAATATTAGAATCCGTATAATCCCATAACAATAGATTATGATGACATATTAGCCCCGAATCATCGGGCCGTATCCAGTCTGACCTTCATCTTTGTGGTCTGTTGACTAGGAACCTATTTAGTTTTGTTTGTCTTTTCAATGTCTGTTTTCACCTTTATTTTAAGGTCACGGATGAGGATGAATTCTTGAAGAAACTGGACTGCAATCCAGATGACTTGCTGAAAGTTGTCTCCATTTTTGGAAACACTGGTGATGGCAAGTCTCATACCCTCAATCATACTTTCTTCTACGGTCGCGAAGTATTCAAGACTTCTCCTGCCCAAGAGTCATGCACAGTGGGTGTGTGGGCAGCCTTTGACCCTGTGCACAAGGTGGTGGTGATCGATACTGAAGGTCTGCTTGGGACAAATGTCAATCTGAGTCAGAGAATACGTTTGTTACTCAAAGTGTTGGCCATTTCAGATCTGGTTATCTACCGAACTCATGCAGATCGTCTGCACAATGATCTCTTCAAGTTTCTTGGTGATGCCTCAGAAGCCTACTTGAAACACTTTACAAAGGAGTTAAAAGCCACTACTGCAAGATGTGGGTTAGATGTGCCACTGTCCATGTTGGGGCCTGGAGTCATAATTTTTCATGAGACTGTTCATACCAAGCTGCTGGGGTCAGGTGAGTCTTGAGACCACTATTTTATATTTTTCCAGTTCTGTTGTGTTTTTTTTTTTTTTTTTAATTCTATTTGATTATGTTGTAGAAAAGTGCAGAACAAATCTTGTGCAATCTGATGTAGCTGGATGTGTATCTACTCAGCTGTTTATAACATGATTCAAGGCTGTCTCCTGTCCATGTCGAATTGCCCATAGTTGCTTATAACTTATAGGAACACTCCGGGAGCCATAACAATTTTAATTGAAATTAAGTTGTAAAGGTTGAACTGTTCATGAATGGTTTTACCCTAAAGAGTGTCCTAACCATAAAGACACAGTTTTTGTCTGGTGTCTCAATTTGGGATCGAAGAAGCAGGTGCACCGCTGATTTAGCTTCGAGCGGTCAGCCACTGCTCTACGTTATCATTGGCTTCCCGTTCAAAAAAATAAAAAGTAAATACCGTTTATACGAATGGGGAGCTACTGATTGGCTTAGAGCATTAGCTGACCGCTCTTGGACAATCAAAGGAGCCGGTGGCTGTCCCTACTTTTTATCCTAATTTGAGACACCGGATGTCTTTGGGAACAGCTAGGAATGGTGCTAGATTGCACGTTCTGTGTTAAACCGTTTATGAACAGATTAACCATTTGAGGTAAGGCAGCTCTTGGCATCATACCAACTTAATTTCAATAATACTGTTATTGTCCTCAAAGTAGTCCTCTTTTAAAGAATATGTAAAAACAGGTGCAACTATAGCCTGCCCCTTTCTCCTAGACCTCAGATATATAATCTAATGTAGGGCACACAGTGTGCACCTGATGCTTGACTCTTGCGCCTTCCAGTGGAGCTTTGTACTAAATACAGAACTGTGGCTATGGATGAGTGTGAGAACCATCTGCACTGCCCTTTCCACAAATGTGCTCAGACTCTTCTACAAAACTTTGAATGAAGGTGTCTGTAAACTGGTAGTTGCAGTGTGGCTGCTGTTGTAGTATTCAGCGGTTCCACTCATTCTATGTTATGAATGATCTCACAGCCCCGGGGCTGAACTCAATAGGCGTACAATCATTATATCATATGTTAATTCATTATTGTGTCCTTGTGGGAAGGGAGCATTCCATTTATACCATTAGTTTAGAGTGAATCCGATTGGAGACAATGAATTAGATTTATTAGCTGGTTTGGAAAACCTAAAAGTAAACACCATGTGGTGTTTGGTTGCTCCACGTGCAGAGCAGCCCCTGCATGATCTGCCTTCTGGCAAGGCTTCCTGATCTTTTTGGCAACCTTGCGACACATACAGGAGTCCTTGGAAAATACAGGACCCTATAAGTGCAGGCTTTTTATAGCCGTGACAGGTCATATTATTGGGACACATCATCTGCTCTTTACAGGTCACACCCCCTTGTGTGATTTGGTGCAGGGTGATGATGCTGTCCAATAAGATTTTTGTTCTCCCTATTTAAACTTTTCCTGTTTCTGGAGATCATTGCCCTGTCGTGGTTTATTCTGCCCGAGAGTGCTTACTGTGAAGTAGTTTTGGTTTTCTCATTACTGACCCGGCTTTGTATGACTTTGCTGATTTCTGGTTCCCTGACTTCGGCTTATTTTGTTGAGTATCTCTGTTGTCCTTGACCTTGGCTTCCTGTTTTGACTCTGTATTTTTCATCTAGTGCACACGTTAACACGGCCATTCTAAGGTCCGGTACACGTACCTTCTCTCTTTTTATTCAATTATTCTGGTTACTGTTTCCCTATAGTGTGTTACCCAATCTTGACAAGTGATCACTGATCCCAAAGATGTTCAGACTGTTTAAATACAGAAAGGGCCAAAAGTGTTCCGTCTATATGGCCTTACTAAGAGAAGCAGAGTATGTCCAGTAGGGCTTGCCTTGGAGTTAAGTGTCTGGGTCTGCTGGGGAGTACAAATTACTTCCTAACTGACCTACAAGCTATATAGGTTTAATTGGGGTGCACTTTACCTTTTATTCATGTTTCTAAGGCTTGACAATTGTCCGCATTCTTCCATCCTGTTCTACCCCATGGAACCAAGGAGACACCCTAAGGGAAAGACGTGATGGAGGCGAAGGAGCAATGCGTACTGGGACTAAGAAGAAGAGGGCTACAGGAAGAATTAAAAAGCTGGCAGTAGTCCTTGGAGTGCCTGATGTTTAATAATGTTCTGTGATCTACAATTCTCATGATCCACATAGTCCTGATTTGGCATCATGGAAATTGCAGTTCACAAACTTATGCAGTGCTCTGTCTTTAAAGATTTGGATTTTTTTTTTTTACTGAAATTCACATTTCTCTGTTAGATTAAAGGCTTCATTGAGCACTATACAACGGGTGGGGAGGAAGTGTCATTCCTAGTTTCACACCATGGGCTTGTAGGCATCAGTTCAACCCAGATGTCCAATCCCCTGCATTAACCTTTCCACAACCCCCTGGAAATCTGGTTACTACTTGTGTGCTGAAATTGTTACACCAGAGAAATTGCGTCATCTACTCAGTTGGTTATGGCATTTAAGGTGTAAACTAGTATTTCATTTGTGACTCATTTGGTGTGTGTGTGTGTGTATATATATATTTATTTTACATTTGGTTTTCTTTGGACTGCTGTACTCTTTCAAACACAGACATAGGTCAATAAAATGTGTTTAAGTTGGGAATTAATAACCTGTTACATTTTCCCCACTTTATTCTCTGGTTTTTTTAGATCTGTTTATAGGCGTTCTCTTATTTGAGGAGTGATTGTTTGTTCATTCTTCAGCCATCAAAAATCTACCTTCTCAAAAGCCAACAAATGTAAACAGGGAGGGTATCTGAAACTACATAACTCAATAATGAGACATCTCTTCATGTCAGAGTATTGTTATCCTCCGAGGATGCCACGTGCCATACTTCTTCAATTTGAAATCATAATTACACTCTATCTGTATCGCGCTTGGATAAATAATTGCTTATTGTCATCTGCTGTCACATCCTGAGGAATTAAAAATTGTGATACAGTTCTAAGGCCTCAAATAAAAAAAATAAAAAAAATAAAAAATAAAAAAAAATAAAAATAAATATATATATATATATAAAATATATATTAATTATTTATTTTTAACTTTTGGTAGTTTTTCCAAATGATTTTAAAAATATATCCAATATTTAAAAAAAAAAAAAAAACTTTTATATATATTTTATCTAAATATTGAGTTATATAGTTGCATAGGCTGAAAAGAGACGTGTCCATCAAGTTCAGCCTTCCTCACTTTTTTTTTGCTGTTGATCCAAAAGCAGGCAAAAAAAAAACCAGTTTGAAGCACTTCAATTTTGCAACAAATCAGCAAGGAAATTCCCTCTTGACCCCAGAATGGCAGTCAGATTTATCCTTGGATCAAGAAGCTATTACCCTACAAAAATTTATATCCTTGAATATTCTGTTTTTGCAAGTATGCATCTAGTTGAAGTTTGAACATCTGTACGGACTCTGATAAAACCACTTCTTCAGGCAGAGAATTCCACATCCTTATTGTTCTTACGGTAAAAAAACCCCAAACTTTCCTTTGCCTTAGACTAAATCTTCTTTCTTCCAGTCTAAACGTATGACCTTGTGAAAAGCGTTTTCAAAAATATGAAATTGAGGCCTATAATGGCAATTGACGCCATGGGAAAACATTCAACACTTGGCTTTCAATTACATCTACATAATGTGAAAGGGTCTTGTCATTAGTAGAGATGTCGCGAACCGTCTGCGAACTTCTCGCGAACGGTTCGCCGCGAACTCCGGTCAGCTGACACATCCCGGCCAATCTCCGGCAGACCCTCCTACTTCCTGGGCAGCATCCACGTTGAAGGCAGCTTCAACATGGATGCTGTCCAGGAGGTGGGAGGGTCTGCCGGAGATTGGCCGGGATGTGTCAGCTGACCGGAGGTCGCCGTGAACCGCGGCGAACCGTTCGCGAGAAGTTCGCGGACGGTTCGCGACATCTCTAGTCATTAGTGTGTAACACACTATGGCTGCCTTTGCACAGAGTGCTACCAAAGCTTTCTAATATCAGAAATACCTGAACGATCTTAAGCAGCTAGCACAGGCTTGTGTTTGACTTTATGGTGATGTCGGAGGGGAAACCTCCCCTCCACCCCCTAAAAAAAAAAAACCTAGGTCAACAGACCAGGGCCCAAAATCGTGACTGTATCACTGAACATAGGGTTATTACAGGTATTTTATTCCCTTATTAAAGCAATGAAACTTGCTTAGATTCAGCTATTATTCTACTGGGAATATTTAAGATCCTGTATCTATAAAGACCATTTTAGGTAACACAGCTGGCTTAAAGGGTCAGTTTAAGCAACATAACCGCTACAGTGAGCTGTAGTGTTTATGGTGCCCACAGTAAGTAGTCAAAGCATTTTTGAAAGGTTTGACACTTACCTGGGACCCCCGTGCATCTCCGTCTGGTCTTCTCTCCACATATAGGCAGAGTGGATTACTCTTCCGTTTTTACATGTATCCATTTTGTCCCTGTTTTGGATGGCATCGTTCAACGAATTCCGTACAAGATATATAATAGTGATGTCACGAATGTGGATTTAACTTCCAGAGCACTGTACATTGCTTCACGTTAATGTTTATGATAACGAGTATACCACATTGTAACATGCTCTTTCGTTGATGCAGAGGTTGAGAATATTTCTTAAGTAACATGTCCTGGAATGTATTGTGCTTTACGATAATGATTAGAGTAAGTGGTTTATGAAAGCAGTATGGTTTCAAATGAACCTCTTTTAATTGCCCATAATATATCCCTGAAAATGTCACTAAGGGAAATCACTGCTTGCGGAAGGGGTGACAAGGGTTGTGTGAACCCGGCCCCCTTAATATCGGCATACACAAAAAAAAAAAAAATTCCACGGTTTCATCAGTGCCAAGTTTGTACCGTAAAAATGAAGATTTTTGCGTTATTACTGATAAAATGAAGGTCACCGAAGGTCACTCAGCCCACCTACAATATCCAAAATGCACCAAGCCAGACTATTTGGTTAGCGCTGCGTTTGTGCCATTAACATTTTTATTTGTGCTGCTTTGTGTTTTTTTTTATTAAAACCCGCCATTTATTTCGACTCTGTGTAAAGTTGACATCCCATGTTTTTAAAAGGTGAATAAAACCAAAATGAATGTTTATGCCAGTTTGGTTTTGGAGATTTAAACATTCTATTTGATCAAACCTTGCCCACTTTGCAATTAATGTTATGACATTTTAAAAGAAAATATACCATTTGTTCGTGCTGCATTTTTATAAAGATTGTATGTGCCAGTTTTGTTTTTGGACATATTGCACATTATATATGGTTAAACTCTGCCCACTTTTCAATACACATTATAAAATTCTTTTTTTTAAATTAAATCTAAAAACAAATATACCATTTAGTTTGTGTGGTTTAAAAAAAATAAAATATATATCAGAATTTATATATATTCAGAATTGCAGATTTGTAGCCAATCCAATGTTTTCCCATAGGGAAAGCATTGGAGTGGCTAAAATCGGCTTAGGGGTGGGGCCAAACACCATTTTGGCCAATCAGCACCTTCTCATAGAGATGCATTGGATCAATGCATCTTTGAGGAAATCTCTGTGTCCCCATGCAGAGCGTGGGGACGCTGAACGGCAGAGCTGCCTACTGTACGCACTGAGCCAGGAAGCCCCTCCAGTGGCCATTTAAGGAGTGGCCACTTGGAGGCGTCCCTAGGGGCAATGTAAACACTGCCTTTTCTCTGAAAAGGCAGTGTTTGCATGAAAATGCCTGCATATAATGATTATATTCACCAGAACAACTACATTAATTTGTAGTTGTTCTGGTGACTATAGTGTCCCTTAAGTTAATAAAAGCAGCACAAATCTTAATTTTTCCAGCACAAACGTCGGGGATCGGCTTCACCCGGTTGACGAAGGCTGATTAACCCCTTAAGACCGCAGGGCGTTCTATGCCGTCCTTATTTAGATGGCTCTAAACGCCGCAGGGCGGCATAGAACGCCCTGAGATCTTTTGTACTTCCCCGGTCGCCGGCGATCCCATTCTGGCGATCGCTTACCTGGGAGTTCCTTCTCTTCGGCCCCCCTGGGCCATGTGATCGCGAGGTCCTTGCGAGGACCACGCGATCACATGGACGGCATAGCCGTCCAAGGCATTGCCAGCAGGGGGACTGCCTGTAATGACAAGTACTCCCCCTGCTCCCTGGAAATAAAATTAAAAGATGTTAAAACAGTGTAAAATTAAATAATATATACTTAGATCATATATTTAATATATATATGGCCAGTGTTTCTGACCAAGTGGCTACTAAAAAAGACTGGACATACTCCATTTGCAATACCTTGGGTTGTCTACTTTTGCAAATGGTATGCCATCATGGGGGTTATTCTTATTCCTGGGCTACCATATGGTCTCAAAGGCAACGTAACCAATCTGGCGAATTTCAATGTGAAAAAACTGAAATATGTAACACACTACATTTGACCTTGTAACTTCCCAAAACACCATAAAACCTGTACATAGGGGGTATGGTTTTACACGTGAGACATCGCTGAATACAAATATGTGTATGTTACTGCAGTAAAAGCAAACAGTATTTTGACATTCACAGTTAAAATGTCACGTAGAACAAAATTTTTTTTTTTTAATTCTTATTTTCTCCCATTTTTAAAAAATATTTTTTTCACATTAAATTATGTCCCATACCTAAATATTTGATGTTAAATGAAAGCCCTGTTTCCCCTGAATAAAATGATATATAATAAGTGTGGGTGCATTTAATATGAAAGAGGTGAATTACGGTTGGACAGACATACAGCGCAAATGCCAGGTTTTGTTTACGTTTTGTTTTGATCACAACTTGTACATTTGGCTGCGGTCTTAAGGGGTTAACACAGTGTCATATTGTTTAATTTCATGCAGAGAAATGCTCTTTGGTCTGTTGATTAAAATCTAGATTGTTGTAACAGGTGGCTATATTTTTCTGCAAACCCAAGTTTGAAATGCAGCCTGAAAACAGCCTAATTAGCATACAAATACTAATTCTAGCTGAATTTACATCGCTATATTAAATATTTGTTAATTTTAAAATCCCCATAATACACAGCAAATGAATGTTTAATTATGGGCATTGTGGGTTTACTGTAGGTGGCCCTATACTGCCCAACAGAGCAAATATCTTTGAGAAAGGATGAGTCAATCTGGTCAAAATTCTGTTCTCTGACTCTGTGTTTTGTAATGCCATTTATCAAGATTGGGTGGGGGGGAGGGATTTGTGTTTATTGACATACTTTTATTTTGCAACAGACTAGACAGAGCCTTAGGCTGTGCATTCCTCTCTTTGTGTTGTATTTTATTTCTTCCATTGTCCTTTTTACAGAAAGATCTTCTGAAACCCCAGAAAAAGTCATTCAAGACAGATTTCGAAGGCTTGGACGTTTTCCAGAAGCCTTCAGCTCTATTCATTACAAGGGGACGCGCACCTACAACCCACCCACGGATTTCTCAGGGTTGCGTCGTGCTGTGGAGCAGCAACTGGAAACCAATACCACCCGCTCCTCTCGGCATCCTGGCGTCATTTACAAAGCTCTAAAGGTAAAGAGAAAATACATGCAAAAAATATATTCGACACGCTATAGTCCCCAAAACCATTTTTCGCTTAATGGAGCAGTTTTGGTGTATAGATCATGCTCGTGCAGTCTCACTGCATTCTCTGCCATAAGAAGTTTTTATCTCCTTCTCTGTAAATCGAACAGCACACCAGGCTATTAACAGTGCAATAGATAAGAAATTCTAAATTAAACAGACTTTTCAAATAATGAAAGCCTAAGCATTAATTGTCTCTTTACAGGAAGTGTTTATGGAAGGCTGTGCAAGTCACATGCAGGGAGGTGTGGCTAGGGTTCATAAACAAAGTGATTTAACTCCTAAATGGCAGAGAATTGAGCAGTGAGTCTGCAGGGGGCATGTTCTATACACCAAAACTGCTTCATTAAAGGACCACTCTAGTGCCAGGAAAACATACTCGTTTTCCTGGCACTATAGTGCCCTGAGGGTGCCCCCACCCTCAGGGTCACCCTCCCGCCCGGCTCTGGAAGGGGGAAAGGGGTTAAAACTTACCTTTTTCCAGCGCTGGGCGGGGAGCTCTCCTCCTCCGATCCTCCTCCTCTCCGCCCATTCGGCTGAATGCGCATGCGCGGCAAGAGCTGCGCGCGCATTCAGCCGGTCACATAGGAAAGCATTATCAATGCTTTCCTATGGACGCTTGCGTGCTCTCACTGTGATTTTCAGTGAGAAGCACGCAAGCGCCTCTAGCGGCTGTCAATGAGACAGCCGTAAGAGGCTTTGGGGGAAGGCTTAACCCATTCATAAACATAGCAGTTTCTCTGAAACTGCTATGTTTATAAAAGAATGGGTTAAGCCTAGCTGGACCTGGCACCCAGACCACTTCATTAAGCTGACTGGTCTGGGTGCCTAGAGTGGTCCTTTAAGCTAAAACTGTTTTGATGACTATATTGTCCCTTTAATATATCTGGCACTGCTAAGCAATAGGAAAAGAAAGACCTGAAACTCACCGGTAACCTTAAAGGACCACCATAGGCACTCAGACCACTTCAGCTCAATGAAGTGGTCTGGGTGCGAGGTTCATCTAGTGTTAACCCTTCAGCTTTAAACATAGCAGAACAGAGAAACTGCTATGTTTACAATAGGGTTAATCCAGCCTCTAGTGGCAGTCTCACTGACAGCCGCTAGAGTCGCTTCCGCACTTCTCACTGTGAAAATCAGTGAGAAGACGCTGACGTCCATAGGAAAGCATTGAGAAATGCTTTCCTATGGACTGTTTGAATGCACGCGCGACTCTTGCCGCGCATGCGCATTCAAAGCTGACATCGGGAGAGGGAGGAGAGGGGGGCCATGAGGGTGGGGGGGACCTAAAGACCCTATAGTGCCAGGAAAACGAGTTTGTTTTCCTGGCACAATAGTGGTCCTTTAAAGTTGAAAGCATTTGTTAGAACCAATACTTTCACGACCTTTCCATCACTGTTATGTGTTGATCAGAAAAGTACTGTTTTCATTCTCTTTAAGATCTACAGAAAATGTAACTCTTGCACAAAGCAAGGATAGCTGTATTTATCTCTCACGTCACCTGAAGGGCTTAATAGATTTTAGGATTACTTGTGAGTTCATCACCGTTAATATTTCACTGGACTAGTGGGGTAATACATGTTGCAACATTGCTCTGCCCCTTGGCCCTTGTCTTAAAACTCATTTAGTTATTTTAGCTGCTCTATTTTATAAAGTACCTTTTTTGTAGTGGTAAAGTAGCAAGGAACCTGCAGAGAGATTTAGCCTTTTGAATCTGAGTATCTAGTGTACTTTGTTAAGGTCTGATCTATGTGTAATTACATATGGCTCACTCTTAAACATAGATTTAAAAAAAAAAAAATGTTTTTATTTATTTTCAGGCTTTGAGTGACCGCTTTAGTGGAGAGATTCCAGATGACCAGATGGCTCATAGTTGTTTTTTTCCTGATGAGTATTTCACCTGCTCTGCTCTCTGCCTCAGCTGTGGGTATGTGTTTAATGCTTACTTAGACTTCATTTGTGGGTAATATTTTTCTTACACAATTTCCTTCTTTCACTAGATCGATAACAAAGACTTTGACTTCGATTTGCTTTTAACTGTTGTGTTTTACTGCATTTGCTTATTAGAAAAATGTAGTCTCCCCAACATCTTGAACTGCATTTTGCCATATAGAGAAAGGACTGTCTCCCAGTTCATGATTGCCAATTTACATATATGGTTTTATTTTCATAATTCTATGCTCCTGGGAGGTACAGAACAGTAAAGAACTTAACTGCGTCATTATGGCCAAGTGAAATAACAAGCAAGGTAGTGTATTAGTCTTCAGTTCAGTAGCAGTCAGGAGCTCCACAATGGGCAATAAGCATCAAACCTAAACCTTCATATTGGGGACCTATACTATGGTCCACTGAGGTTTATTTACTATTATTAATGTTTGAAGATTCACATAGGACAGCAATAATTGAACAAAGCGGGGGGAAAGGGGGAGGAGTAAGAGAGTAAGAACTCGAGAGCAGACGGAAAATTTCAATTTAGTTTTAGTCCATTCCATTATTAGTCGTATTTTAGTCAACTGAATTGTTTTAGTCGACTAAATCTTCAGTAGATTTTAGTTGACCATACGGAATGGGGGAACCGACACTAGGTGATTAGGTAAGGAAATGCACAGATTGGGGAATTTTAAATTGCATTTAGCGAATTTTAGGTATTGCAGAAAGAGTTGCCAAAAATCCTTTAGCAGTTAGTGCATGCCCTTATGGGATCAGATTATGGTATCAACCAACAGTGCAGGCCTGAGTTCAACAAACCTCAATTGTGCCATTTGGAGAAATGTAAAGAAACGTGATTGGAAGGCCTTAAAATTACGCTGCTGTCTGGAACACTACGAGAAGTGATGTGTGCAGGCAGATCAGAAACAGCCACCACTGGACAGACACTCACTCATCTGTCATCAATTCCCAGCTTTCCTCTTATTACAGGCACACATCGTGAACCGAGCTGAGATCACTAACTCTACCTTTTCTTAGTCTAGAAATGTTGCATGATTTTTATTTGTTTATTTTTATGGTGGATATATGTATAGTTGTGAATGATTTAAAAAAATTTTTTTTTCTATATTTCCGTTTATGTTTTGTCCAGTCTCCACAGTTTCATTGTATTCTTTTTGTTCTTTAGAGCAGGATGCAAGAACAGCATGAATCACTCTAAGGAAGGACTTCCTCACGAGACAACGAGCCGTTGCAGGTACTCCCACCAGTATGACAACCGAGTGTATACCTGCAAGGTGAGCAACCTTTTAATGTTGTTGTAAATTTACATTCCTGTTTGATTTATTCGTTTTTGAGATACATCTAGTAGCCTAAAACACCACATTTATTACTTTGCTGTGATCATTATTGGGTTTTGTTTATTTTTATTGCAATTTCGTCAGTGACAGTGGCTTAATACATTTTACAATAGCAAAAAAAGTTACACCACGAACACCTAACATCAGGCTGAAACCTACATGTCTGAAATCGTACCCCAATGTCTGACATCAACCGATTGTATTATCTTAGATGTGTAATTTCAGTGTACAGTACAATGTATGTTGGTTTCATATATTTTTTATGATATACTGCCAGCTAAAGGCCTCCATTTAATATTGTTGGATAAACGTGTTACTATTCAAAAATAAAAATAGTGTTCGATAAACTTTAGAAATTATTTAATATTTTAAAATATACATTTTGAATTTTTTTTTTATATTTTTTGAAATTTTGTATATATATTTTTTTAGATTTTTAATATTTTGAAAAAACTAACAGGCTTTTATCCCCCCCAAATTAAATCATTTGAAACGCTTATACTAACATTTTTTAAATGTATTTATTTAAAATTTTCTTTTCTTTTAATTTTTTTAATTATTATTCCCAAGAAAAGAGCAAGTTTTTAATCTCCAGTTTAAAAATCAATAGGTTAGATGTGGACTTGGATAATAAATATATATAATATTTGGTCAGAAATTTGTCAATGAACCCGTGAGGTGGGTACCATTTTATGCAAGCTGACCTCCATAATGATCTATAAACCAAATGATGAGTCACATAAATATCCCTAATACACTTAATATTATGTCATTAGATTATGTGACATTAAAGCGAAACTGTAAACCATTGAATAAAACATTTGGACTCTCCTATAATATGTGCTAACTCCTCCATCCAAAGATGCTTAATTTTCTTTTAAATATTAAATTTAATATTGGATAAATTGCATAATTATCCAGTTCAGACAAGGCACAGCCAGGGCAAACCTTGCAAAGGAAAAAGAGAAATTGATTTTTTTTTAATTTGTGTATGCTGACAGCCAGGTGCAAAAGGTGGGCTTATAATGATTGAGCAAAAATGGAAGCGCCCAGTTGTAGGATTGTATAGTTGCAGTTGTATTTTTTTTTTTTTTTCCAAGTACAAGGATACGGTGTATATAAATATAATTACTGAGAAGTGTCCATTTCCTTTAAACTTCTTTCAGGCTTTTCCACAGATGCAAACTTGTACAGTGGATTGATATGAAGTTGTTTTTATTTATTTATGATGACGGCAGAGAGAGTTTATGGTGTCTCTCTATAGACGAGAGTATAACTTGTGATGGGTTCCATTCTTGTGTGTTCTAAAGCCACTTCTTTTGCAGGCTTGTTATGAAGGTGGGAAGGAGGTCAATGTGGTTCCCAAAACATCTGCTTCCACCGACTCGCCATGGCTGGGTCTTGCCAAGTATGCCTGGTCCGGGTGAGCGTTATTTTTTTTATTTTTATTTTTTCACTTTGATATCCTTCAACTTTCCTTGTTTAGGAGGGAAAGTACCTGTGTCCAAATCTTCCTGTACCTCCATCATTTCATTCCCAATTTTTGAGGAGCTCTATTATTTGTCGTTGAGCTCCACAAGAATATGAAATTCTTAATTAAACAGAATGTGCAATAAAGGAAGTGTAAACATCAGATGACTCTTTACAGGAACTGTTTAGGAAGGCTGTGTAAGTCACATGCAGGGTGTGTTGTGCCTAGGGCTTCATAAACAAAAGGATTTAACTCCTAAATGGCAGAGAATTGATTAGTGAAACTCCAGAAGGATGATCCAAACACCAAAGCTGCTTCATTAAAGGGACACTCCAGGCACCCACACCACTTCTGCCCATTGGAGTGGTCTGGGTGCCAACTCCCACTACTCTTAACCCTGCAAGTGTAATTATTGCAGTTTTTTATAAACTGCAATAATTACCTTGCAGGGTTAACTCCACCTCTAGTGGTTGTCTACTAGACAGCCAATAGAGGGCACTTCCTGGTTTCTAGCACTGTGCTAGAGCGTCGCTGGACGTCCTCACGCTGTGTGAGGACCTCCAGCGTCGCTCATTTCCCCATAGGAAAGCATTGAAATGCATTTTCAATGCTTTCCTATGGGGAGCGCTAATGTGCAGCATTGCCGCACATGCGCATTAGGTCTCCCCGGCATGTGGGCGGGATCAGTCTGCCCACCGGCCGACGCAATCAGAGGGAGGAGCGGCGTGGAGGAAGAAGCAGTGACGTTGGACATCATCGCTGCCTCAGGTAAGTCACTGAAGGGGTTTTCACCCCTTCAGCAGCCGGGGATTGGGGGGTGTTTTTAAATGGGCCGTAGATTCGCAGCACCCCATCTCTTTCAACACCAATTATAGCGACTAAACCGATAACCACATTCCCATCTTACTAGTATCCTACACATTGGTTATTAGCTACAGAAGATGCATGTTACATTTCCTGGCTACTGTAAAAATAAGGGAACAAAGAACCATCATTTATTGTAACTAAAACGGTAATTCTAGCTTCCTGCACTAGAATGAGATTCTAGACATGCGCATTAGGTCTCCCCGGCCGGTGGGCGGGATCAGTCTGCCCACCGGCCGACGCAATCAGAGGGAGGAGCGGTGCGGAGGATAGAAGCAGTGACGTTGGACATCATCGCTGCCTCAGGTAAGTCACTGAAGGGGTTTTCACCCCTTCAGCAACCGAGGATTGGGAGGTGGGAGGCAGAGGGGACCTGCAGTGCCAGGAAAACTGATTGTTTTCCTGGCACTGGAGTTTCCCTTTAAGCTAAAGTTGTTTTGGTGATTATAGTGTCCCTTGAAATGGTTATTCAGTATGTACAGCTGTACATCCCACTCACAAGTAGCACTCACGAAGTTAACTTTTTCATAAATAATTCAATGAAAGTTCATATGTGCAGAGTAAGCACTCATTCGGTGTACAACAAGGATTCTCAATCCCAAGTTGTACTGAAAAAAACACACCAGCTGATGGAGCATATGTGGTGTATGTGTTTCTCTCACACATATTATAAAGACAATAAGCTGGTGTTTCCCATCTTACTAGTATCCTACACATTGGTTATTAGCTACAGAAGATGCATGTTACATTTCCTGAAATAAAAACAGTATCAGCGCTTAGTTAATATACCCCTATTTTTTGTATATGGGTCAACAACAAAAATATATTAAATAAATTAAATAAAGAGTCCCAGTTTCAATCTTCATGGGGTGTTTTCAAATGTCCGCAGGGATTTGATAGTTGTAACAGTAATTGGTGTAAAAAGACTTTGTCTTTATATGTATCCAACCTTAAATCAAAAAGATACTGACATAGCGTGATACAGTTACAATACTTTATTTCCCATACGGTAATCCCCCCATAAGAGGAACTCTTACAATTAAAAGTGGTGAAACTTATTTCTAAGGTTCACAATAAAAACGTAGAAATGCAGAATATTGGCTGATGAATATAAAGTTACGTGGATGTTATTTCCAGACCGGTCCTGTGCACTCAGATCGATCCTCACTGAGAAGCCAACTAGCCAATCTTACTGCAATCTCTCCAAATTCAAAAATCCCGCCAGAAACACGATCTACGCGTTTCACTCATTCAAATGAGCTTTCTCAAGATACAGTGCTCTGGGGGATTATGATTACATATATATCTCTCTAGCAATTAAATAATTAAAAAACAAGAAATTCATCTGGTACATTAATATCTTCCATTTAACTATGTGTTCTCTGATCCTCACTATATTTTCAGACTCATAGCAGTGTATCATTATTTCGTTTTGATTGATACAAATATACACAGTTTCTAAACATCGTGAATGGTTAATCCTAACACACAATCAGAATCAACATATTCCTCTATAATTAGTGGAACAATTAAGTTCCAGTGTTTCATGCATTAAAAATGAAAAATAAAGCATTTTATATTTCATCCTTTTTTTCTCAATTAAGACATAGTAAAAACGCTGGTGTTCTAAACAAAATTCCAAATATAGTAAATAATAAAACACTCCTATAAATATACATAATTGCAGCATGAATTATAAAACTTAAATTAACTTATAAACATCATGAGTAATTAGTTCTATTAGACAAATTAAACTCAAATGCATTCTCTATAGTTTATGTAACAGTTAGGTTCCCATCTTTTATACAGTTTGGAAAAATGATGAACAATTCATATTTCTCTACTTTTTCATCTATTCAAACGTGAGAAATATCAGTCATAAATTAGTCTACCTTAAATGAATAAGTAGTTAAATATATCAGGCTCTTTACATCAGCCGATCCTTTGTATCTAACAGAGCAATTAAGCTCCGATCTTAGGTGAAAAAAAGACGATCTATTTTATCTACAGTTCCTATTTCACATTACCTCTTGTTTCTAAATGCTTTTAACAGCCATAGGAGATAACAGTTAAGATAATGCAGTCGTAAAAGAGAAATGTTTAAATCCCTTAAAGGCACAGACTTTCTTTCTATTCAATTTTATCAGCCCGTGTATTCTAAACTTTTTCACCAGGGATATCATACAAATTCCAGAATCTAATGAGAATAAATAACCAAATGTCAATAAAAACTTTTAGAATAAAAAGAAAACTTATAAAAATATATATAATATATATATTATGAATCCTGTTAAAAAATCTCATTTCCATTCTCTATATCAGGTCATAAAATATGTGCTATTTCAAATTCAGCATTAAGCCCAAATGGAGTTAGGGTTTTTAAAGTATAAATCCAAAAAGTTTCTCTATATATTAAACTTTTCACTAAATCCCCTCCCCTCCAAGGGACTTTAATTTTCTGGATTCCACAATAAGATAGGGATGCTGGGTTGCTGTTGTGGTATATCTTAAAATGTTCTGACAATGAATGTTTTTCAATATTATAATTATATTATTAATTATTATTATTATTATTATTATTATTATAATATTAACAGAAAATTTGAAAAACATTCATTGTCAGAACATTTTAAGATAAATTTATGTTTTATTATTTACTATATTTGGAATTTTGTTTAGAACACCAGCGTTTTTACTATGTCTTAATTGAGAAAAAAAAGGATGAAATATAAAATGCTTTATTTTTCATTTTTAATGCATGAAACACTGGAACTTAATTGTTCCACTAATTATAGAGGAATATGTTGATTCTGATTGTGTGTTAGGATTAACCATTCACGATGTTTAGAAACTGTGTATATTTGTATCAATCAAAACGAAATAATGATACACTGCTATGAGTCTGAAAATATAGTGAGGATCAGAGAACACATAGTTAAATGGAAGATATTAATGTACCAGATGAATTTCTTGTTTTTTAATTATTTAATTGCTAGAGAGATATATATGTAATCATAATCCCCCAGAGCACTGTATCTTGAGAAAGCTCATTTGAATGAGTGAAACGCGTAGATCGTGTTTCTGGCGGGATTTTTGAATTTGGAGAGATTGCAGTAAGATTGGCTAGTTGGCTTCTCAGTGAGGATCGATCTGAGTGCACAGGACCGGTCTGGAAATAACATCCAGCGGTAACTTTATATTCATCAGCCAATATTCTGCATTTCTACGTTTTTATTGTGAACCTTAGAAATAAGTTTCACCACTTTTAATTGTAAGAGTTCCTCTTATGGGGGGATTACCGTATGGGAAATAAAGTATTGTAACTGTATCACGCTATGTCAGTATCTTTTTGATTTAAGGTTGGATACATATAAAGACAAAGTCTTTTTACACCAATTACTGTTACAACTATCAAATCCCTGCGGACATTTGAAAACACCCCATGAAGATTGAAACTGGGACTCTTTATTTAATTTATTTAATATATTTTTGTTGTTGACCCATATACAAAAAATAGGGGTATATTAACTAAGCGCTGATACTGTTTTTATTTCAATTTATGTCACACATGATGTTTTAAAACTTGGGAAGGTTTTTAGTGTATCCGGCAGCTTTGTATTAACTTTTTCTTGTGGATAATCATAATTTGAAGCACCTGCTTAGAAAATCCACTATTTTATTGATATACATATTCTTTTTTTGCGCTCTCTATAAACCTGTTTTTTTCATGTTACATTTCCTGGCTACTGTAAAAATAAGGGAACAAAGAACCATCATTTATTGTAACTAAAACGGTACTTCTAGCTTCCTGCACTAGAAGTCATATGGGAAGCAATGTAACTTTGGTAATTCTAAATAAAATATCATTCCTATATAGCTATAAACTTGCAACCCTACTGTAACAGTTCGACAATGACTACCAAATTAAACCAAAACTAACAAAGGTGCAACAATATCCCCTAGTGGAAAACAAAAATATAGAAATCTTGTTAAAAACAAATACACGTGAGTTCTTCTTTAACTCTTTTTATATAATTCATTGTATAGAAATCTTGTTAAAAACAAATACACGTGAGTTCTTCTTTAACTCTTTTTATATAATTCATTGTTGCCTAAAATGTCCTGGATAGCCATGCCTGCTGGTCACACTCCAGCCATACCTCTAACATGAAATCTTCATCTTTGGCCATATGAAATGTGGAGAGGAGTGTACCTTGCTTACACGGTTCTTTTCATAACCATTTGGATTTCCCCTGCCTTCTAGATACGTGATTGAATGTCCTACTTGTGGAGTGGTTTATCGCAGCAGACAGTACTGGTTTGGGAATCAGGATCCTGTGGACACTGTTGTACGTACGGAGATACAGCACGTTTGGCCTGGAGTAAGTGTTTTGTATGTCTTACCTATCATAAATTATCTGTATAATAACAGCCATGATTTGATCATGTCACGTCTCTCCTTAAATATTACTTTCAGTGTTCATGTCATAATGTAGACATTGTGTGGTATAATGTAGACCTCACCATATCCCCTCAATATTATAATTCTCAGGCTGATGATTTCCTCAAAGACAACAATAATGCGGCCCAACGTCTACTAGATGGTATGAATTTCATGGCACAGTCTGTAACAGAACTGAGCATTGGACCCACCAAAGCTGTGACATCTTGGTTGACTGACCAAATTGCCCCTGCCTACTGGAAGCCAAATTCTCAAATACTGGTAAGGTAAAAACTGTGCTTATGGATAAAGATTAAAAATTGTTGGAATATGCTTATGGCTCTTGTTTTCAACTATTATCAGTAGCAGTTTAAAGCAGGACTACCACGTCCTAGGATTTTTTTTAAAGGGACACTATATAATCTCTAAAACAACTTTAGCTTATTGAAGCAGTTTTGTGTATAGCTCATTTCCCTGCAGGGTCACTGCTCAACTCACTGCCATTTAGGAGTTAAATCACTTTATTTATGCACCCTAGTCACACCTCCGTGCACGTGACTTGCACAGCCTTCCTTAACACTTCCTGTAAAGAGTCCGCTAATGTTTATACTTCCTTCATTGCAAATTCTATTTAATTTAAAATGTATTATCCCCTGCACTGTTGATAGCTTGCTAGACCCTACGGAAGCATTCTGTATATAATTAAAGTTCACTTTAGAGAGCAGGCAGTAAGAACTTTTAAAGTAAGTTATATCTAATTGAAAGTAAAAACATTTTTTTTTTTTTTTTCATGCATGGAGTGTGAGTCGCAGCCAGGGGAGGTGTGGCTAGGGCTGCATGGACAGAAACAAAAGGGATTTAACTCCTAAATTGCAGAGATTTGAGCAGTGAGACTGCAGGATCATGATATATACAGTAAAACTGCTTCCTGAAGCTGAAGTTGTTTTGTTGACTATAGTGTCCCTTTAATGCTTAGTGTCCTATAGACTGTAAGCTCGTTTGAGCAGGGCTCTCTTCAACCGATCGTTCCTGTAAGTTTTCTTGTAATTGTCCTATTTATAGTTGAATCTCCCCTCTAATAATATTGTAAAGCGCTACGCAATCTGTTGGTGCTAAATAAATGGCAATAATAATAATGTTTACTTATCATATATACATTTAACAAATGTGTTTAAACACATACCTCCACAATGCAGATTTTTACAGATTTTTCCATTTACTCTTCCTTTGAAGCCATTTTGAATGCATTTAATTTCAGTTTAATGTCAATCACTTTTATAGGCTCTGCCCTTTTATGCCAGTGCAGAGGACAAACCCCCCCCCTCCTCCCCCAGCATTTGAACCTGTCAGTCAGCATAGAAACCTTCCTTCATTCTGCTTTAAATAAGAGTTAATTAATGGCCAAAAGGGGAAATTGTCAGTTAAATGAACCCTCCACTGTCCAAAGTGGAGCAAAAATAAAAAACTATTTAGGAGACAGATATACTCCTAACAAATAAATGCATGATTTGTTTTCATTGGGAGTATATATTAAAAGTGATTGAACTTAATAAGCCTTCCCCTTTTTTTTTCACGGAAAAGACTTTCGGTCTCTTCACAGGGATATAACCATTAATCATTGAGAAGCTTTGAATTCGAACCCATGTGAAAGTGCAGCGACTTGCACACGTGCGCGCACTGTTACCTCCGGCTCATGCACATCTGGTCTAAGATCTGTATGGGAGGAGACTGGAATGTTCAAATAGAGCATGCCTGCTACTTCTGTTCGCTTAGGGGAGCTAATGGAAGGAGGTTGCATACCTCCATGGTTGTTTGACAGCCAGTATAGCGTTCCCTAGTTAATTTATAAAAGTGCTGATTTCTCATAGAAATTGTCACTCTTCTAAACTGGGATTAAACTACAATACTCCTCACCCATGATGCACTTCAGCAAGCTGAAGTGCTTTTGAGTTGTGGAGTGGTTCTCCAAGGAGAAGAAAGTTTTCAGTGGAGTATCGCTATATTTTTAAAAATTAATTTTAAATTAATTTATTTTTTTTCTTTACACATATCTCTTTGAATATGGAAAAAAACAAACATTATTACCGGCAGATTTATAAATTTATCGTTATTTTTGATGAATAAAGAACTATTCTTGCAGATAGTGATTTACTCCATTTTGTTTTCCGGTAGGTATGTACGAAGTGCACGGTTCCCTTTAAGGAGAATGATACTAAGCACCATTGCCGGGCCTGTGGGGAGGGATTCTGTGACGGCTGCTCATCCAAAAGTCGTCCGGTTCCTGAGAGAGGCTGGGGGCTTTCACCAGTACGTGTGTGTGACAGCTGCTATGATCGGAGAGGAAGTCAGATAGGTGAGAACTGATTATTTTTTTTAAATGTCTTTGGTTTATATACTATTGTAAGATTGTGACTTGGAATGTGTGCCATTGGTGTGTGATTGCTGTGTTGACAGGCTAACCACCAATGGCACAGTATTCAATAATGCATTGCACAATACTCATCTGAATTGGACTTTCTACCCCTACATTTGTAGACAACCTTTGCCTACATAAACTAGTACTAGTGTGGCACTTGGTAAATATTATAATTAATCTTATGGAGGAACTAAGTTTTCATAGCACTTTTTAAAAAAATGTTTTAAAGGATGCTGTAGTATATGCTAAGCAGATCGCAGTTACTTATAATCAAACAACCATACTAGTAATGCTTATGCGTAGTTGAGACTTCTTGCCTAATATTAGGAACATACTATTAAACACAGAATTAGTGTATTAGGAAAATAATTCCACTGATTACCACCCAAAATGAAAACCTAAAGCACAGAAAACATATCCTAAAACGTTTGTTCCAAGTGAGCCTAGAGGCCATAAGAAGCATGGTACCCGGGCCCTCATGCCAGTATAGTGCTCAGCCTACGCTTCCTATCCAGAAGGTTTTTGGTGCACCAGGCACACAGTGTGTTGCTCCAGGCTCTGACACAGTCCAGCACATGTTCCTTACGGGATCTGCCCACAGATTGCCTGCTTCCACGCTCAGCTGTTGCTTCCCGAACATGTGAACTGTGTCTAGGATTCGTCCCCTGATGGATTGAGATCCAGGTGAGTGTTGGCTTGTCTCCAGGCCACTTCTCTTTAGTCAAGGCCCTCTCCCCTTCTTTCTCCTCCTCTTCGCTTTCGGTGCTGCTGCAGTGCGGACCATGACAGGTCCCCACTTAGGAACTCTCACAGCAAGCGCTTGCCAAGGACAATCTGTCACTGCCGAGGGCCTGGGTTGCCAGTGCTGCTACGGTGGTCATCTGTTGTGCAGTGCTGCAGAGTTTACAGCCCAACAACACTGTTCGCTGCGTCTCTGAGCTGGGAACAGCTGAGCTCTTCGGTGGGGACCTGGATATCCCCCAGCGGTCCAAAGGGGCGTGGGGGAGGAGAACAGGGCCCAGGAACAAACTGATCAGTGGTAGTTGAAGGGGCGGCCGTCCCCTCTGGCTAATATGCAGTTGTAAGCCACTTAGGCTTACAGTAGCAGCTGCAAGGAGTTAGGCCACCCAGAGTTGGTCAGTTCGCAGGGATAGCTTATAGAAACGTAAAAAGCTGATTTGCTGCCGTTAAATCGGGTTAGATACCCTTGAAATTGCTTAGAATTCAAATTCTGTCGAAGCCCCAGTTTCATGCGGCTGCCTCAGTCGGCTGTAAGGTCCCGCCCCCATGGAGGAACTAATTTAAGGTAGTACTGCATTCTTTTAGGACCCTGTGGCTGTCAGTTTATACTGAACTGGATCTTTACTTGAATTGGGGCAAAATTCGGTTACTGAAATAGGCTATAAACTCAAACAATCTCCTATATGCTATTCCCTCATTCCATTTAGTACTCCCTATAACACATCTTGTCTAACAAGCAATCAGGGGAATCTGCTATATTTTTGCAAGTTAGCATGCGCAATAGTTTAGAAGACACTCATATTTTAGAGGTCAGGTGGGGAAACTAACACCAAGATTTACCAACAGGAGCTGCCTTGTTTCATTTCTATAAAGTCACTGCCAGTGTCTGTCTGTGAATCCAATTCTACAACTTATAGGGGCGCCTTAAGTCTTATAATCACTCCATCTTATCGTGGTTATGGGTTGAGGAAGAACCAGGGCACACAAAGCCTTAACAAGAGTGAGCTGTAGTGGTTATGTTGCCAAGATTCCTTCTAAAATAATATTTAAAAAAATAAATAAAACTTCACAGGGCTTAAACATGAATATTATACGGTGTAAAAAGTAAAACCCAACTACAAAAACTTTCTTTTTTCTTTAGTTGCTGTGGACTCTGTTGACGATGAAGAAGGTGGTACGTTAATTGCCAGGAAGGTTGGAGAGGCCGTTCAGAATACATTGGGTGCAGTGGCGACAGCCATTGACATTCCTCTCGGTAAGATCTCCCTGGGTTGACTGGTTATTAGTCTGTCTATAAACGTATTTGTATCCTATATATTATGGTGCAGCGGGCTAAATGGCACTGTAACAATACCAGTCCTCATGGCCCACCGACAGTCTAGGTTTTGGAAACTACATAAATCCTGAATTGTTGGTTTGGGACCCAGTGTCATAGCCTACAATTACCACATACAGTGGACCTGATTTGCATTATGACTTTTCTTGCCCTGTTTTCCTCTTGATTAATATTCATGGCTATTGACCACTAAAATAGTGATAGCTTGGTATTTCACAAGCCACTTCATAGAATGAGACCGTGTTGACAGTGTGTGACATGGTGCACAGATAGATCACCTGGTGTCAAACATTGACAGCGTGGGAGCGCAGTGCATCGGGGCGGATACATTCATGGAATTTATGGAAAATACATAGGTGAAGGTTGGCACATCAGGTCCTAACAAGATAGGACCTGTCATAATTTCATATAAATGAAAGTAATTTCTAACGGTAGTCCTGAAAGGGGGGGAAAAAAATACCCCTCTAAATAATTTGCTCTCTTGGCAGGACTTATGAAAGATGCTGCAAGACCTGCGTACTGGATCCCTGACCATGAAATAACTCACTGCTACAACTGCAAGAAAGAATTTAATATCAAGCTATCCAAACACCACTGCCGGGCATGCGGACAGGGTTTCTGCGACGAATGTTCAAGTGACAGACGACCAGTCCCATCCCGGGGCTGGGATCATCCTGTGCGTGTCTGCATTAATTGCAATAAAAAACCTGGTGACCTTTAACCCTCTGTTTCCACTCCTGTCCTTCACAATTCCGTTCGTTCTCAGGGTTAGCTATGAGTGGAACCATTTTCATCCTTAGGCCTGTCTGGCATGCATGCTTCTAATCTGTCGATTTTTTGTGGTCATCTTCATTAGTCCATCAACATATTAAACATCCAACATTGCTTTGTTCAGGAAACAAGACAATATATAATCTGCACTTTTTAACTATTGAATAAAACGATACAATTGAAAAATCTTCATGAAGAAACAAGTGCTGCAGCATTTTGGGTCACTGGGATAGTGGGCCTGATCTATTAACTGACATATTTAACACTATATCTATCTGTACTGTATTCAAGATCTGGGATACGCCTTTGCCAATAGGAACTTGCACTTTATTTTTATTCAGCATGGCAGTTCATAGACTTTAGCTTTTTTTTTTTTTTTGTCCCCCCCTCTGTATTAATAAACCAGAATTTAAAAATTTGGGAATGCTATAACTTTTCTAAATGAGTTTGAATGGAGGTTTGTGATATGTGCTGTAATCCAGATCCATTGACCTATGCACAGTTTGATCTGGATGTAGATCCAGGTTCCCTTGTGGAGTTTCTCTAGTTCATCGCATCTCTACATTTAATTATATCCAAACATAAAGCATTTTGCATTCTTTTATTTTGAAGAAGTTATAATCTATGTAGTGTAAGCACAGGTGGACCCGGATCATTTACTAATAGTAAATTAATAAGTGTTTCAAATTAATCTTACAGTAATCCTCAATATCACATGGAACGAACTATATAGAACATGTGCTGTACAACCATACCAAGTAGCTCATCTGTAGAGAACATGACATTCCTGAGACTGTGTAAATTTGTGTCTTTGTACAAATTTGATTTGTGTTAAATCTACAAACGAGAAAGAATCAGTAAGTTATTTTGTTCTGTTTACACTGTAAGTGCCTTCCCATCAGTTTTGTAAATGAAAGAGAGATCCTGCATTTCCATGGGTCATGTTTTGTTTTCTGTTCTTAAGAAGTAATCTTAAATATAGGTTGTTTTGTATAAATTGCCTGTTAACGTCATATTTGTGGGTACACTTTTGCCTCTGGTTAGCAGGGTAAGACTTTCAAAGTACATATTGTTGCCTAAAAATATCTACGCCTGCATTTTCCAGTTTATCAGCTGCAGGAGCCACAATTCCACCCACCAAAAAAACCTCATGAAGGTACAAAAGTCCCATGTGGAAGTTAAGGGGGTAAATGCTGAGGTCTATGTGATGCTGGGTATGTTAGGGGTAAAAACACAACCTAGCAATGCAGAATTCATAACTGTTCTATTTTGTGATCATTTAATATAGGACCAAAAAAAATAATTAAAATAATGCCTGTGTTTAGATCAGCTTTTGAAGTTATTTTCAGATAGAGCGATATTCAATAGTTTTATTTTAAATATAAACTCACTTTAAAAGTCTCAAGTTCCAGGGAAGACCCAAAACGAGTAACTGTTAATCTAGCACCTCTGCCTGCAAACTAACTTGAATAAAGGCTACGTTTTTAGTTCAGCATTCTAACGTTATACACAAATATTAAAATCAAGCCCAGAGGCAAGAAACTGAGTGGTTGTACTCCTGGGGTTACTACAAGCATTGTGATCGCTTCTGGGATTTGAAATGGCCATGCTGCTTGGAATCTGTTTGTTTCACCAGTGTTTCACCTCTGGCAACATCATAACCCAGAGTGACGTTAAAGGAACACTCCAAACACTTAATGCACTTTAGCTTGCTGAAGTGCTTCTTGTGAGAAGACTGTGTCCTTTCATTTTACAAAATGATTTCATAAATTAACCGTGTTACACTCCCTGGTTGTCAGACATCTGGTCCTTCTACTTCCTGGTTTGGTTAGCTCAGTGGAGCTAAACTCAAGAGGCAGCAATAGCTTAGAACACCTGCCTTGCAGAGAAAGTCTGCATTGGAAAGTCTAATGGGACAGCCACAGAACATCTGGGCTGGAGAAGAAGTGGAGGATTACAACCTGGTTTTAGGTTTTCACATTGAATTCTCAGTTTAGTGAATTCTTACTGTATTCATTTTTTTCTATAACAGAATAAAATTTAACAAAATGAACTGTAGATATACTGTGCTTTGCAACTACACTTTTGTAATGGTAAATGAAAAATATGCATGTCCAGTACCCAAACTTGGCATCTATTTTCACACAGAAGAAGAAGCTTCCTGAGAAATGTTATTTGTGTAGTTGAATAGGAGACGGACACAAATATGAACCAGCACTTCATGTATCACCATCTATGAAGATTCCATATTGTAAGTGACATTGAGCATCAGCAAGGGAAGTGCTAATTTTAGGATGTCCCATGTCTATCACAAAAGATATCTTTGAAATTGTGTATGTTTACAGAGTGCAACAAATTGTCTTTATGTTCACTTCATGAAGTTTTTTTTTTCAATAGGAAATTTTAATAAGATACATAAAATCCTATTTGATACCAAAGTCACTATACAGCTACATAAGAATAAAGTCAAAATAAAGAAAATTAAAAGAAAAAAAACATAGCCTGTGTGGAGGGGCCAAGTCCCAAAATGCTACTTATAACAGAAGCATCAGTGCAGTGTTTATCTTAAATAATCTAGATTGGAAAGAGTCTCCTTTACGCAAGAAGCATATGGTTTACACAAAGTGCTATTGGTGTAAAAAAAAAAGTGTACAAAGCCTCTGTTCATACCCAGCCTGATCACGTAGTTGTGTTATACACTTTCTTTATTTCAGAGAATAAGATTTCTTGAAGTTGTATGAGAAGTGGTACAGATCTTTTTCCACAGCCATCAATAGGCCAGGTACCTTTTGATGTTTTCCACCAAGATAAGGAGAGAAGACCACGTTTGGTATAGAGTCTTTCGATGCTGGATGTGGGGAAGGAATAGTCCTCAATAACCTAGTGTCTTCAAGGTTCCAAATTCGTGTGTAACAATCTTGGCCAACTGAAAACACAAAATAACAAAAAGGTTTCATGGGATAGAGAACAGGGAGGTCGTCTTACAGCGAGAGTAGGCACGGGCCATCACGGCATATGTTGCACGGCCATTCTGCTTTATTGGCAGGGGCCATCCCCATTGATGGATCATCTCTAGTACGATCAATTTGCATCTTTAAGAACACTCCGGGTCAAGTGATCCTTAAAGGCATTCTATAGTGTAATGAATACAAGGTTGTATACCTTATACTATAATTTCCTCTGAACCCCACCCCAGCATGAAAAGGTAAAAAAAAAAAAAAAAAACCCACGTTATGTACTTATTACCCTTTTCCATCGATGAGCTCACTCTGTGCTCCACCTCGGGTGTATGTCCGTAATGTGCATGCAAGAACACATTGCAGGACGAGGGAACACAGACACTGCAGCCAGACTACTACTTACATAACCAAGTTAATTAGCCAGCTTTATTATGTAATTTGTCCACATTTTACAAAAGTCACTTACTCTAAGAAAGTTTAACTTCTCACCTGCTAATAGTAATCCTTCATCTTCTTTTACATGTAGCGGCAACAGTGCGTAGCTGTTATTATGACCCTCGTAGTGCTTTACCGGCCTCACGTTTCTTATGTCCCATAACTTGATCTGATGGAATGAAATGAAAGGAAGGTGTTTTTAAAAGAGAACTTATAACCCATTATCTAATTTTTATGTAGCTTGATTTTAGTAATGTGTGTTTAGTTACGTAAATACTTTTAGTGGGCCTTCGGTATTCTGCAGTGTATTAAGACTTTTACATAACACTTTTAGTAACATTTTTTCTCCATATTTTCTTAAACCCATATTCAGATTTTGAGACATCTGTGGTAGAGTAAGTTTAACCGTAACATGGACATCTGAGTGGAGATGAACATCTTGGAATGTCCTAGTTTTCAAACAAATATTGAAAATATATAAAAAATAAAACAAATTAAAAGGTTAAAAATGAAACAACCCCTTGATGTTTCGTGAAAGAGTAGAAAATAAAAATTATATCTCTCTCTCAAGTTTACATCTGCTTGAAAACGTAACCATTATTTCCCCCCATTTCATGCAGGCTGTAAAAGCCACATGCAGGGAGGTGTGGCTAGGGCCGCTTAAACAGAAACAAAAGTGATTTAACTCCTAAATGGCAGAGAATTGTGCAATGAGACTGCAGAGGCAATTAGCTATACACTAAAACTGCTTCATTAAGCTATGAGGTCTATAATGTCCCTTTAAAGGGATTGTTACACTTTGTAAACAGTGCTGGAATACCCAAATTAATAATAAGCAGATTAGAAAACTAAGATAGACCAGGGTGCGACTCTAAATTCCAAAACCTGGCAGGTTTTGACAAAGAAAAATAAAAAAAAATGCTTATGAACTGAATAGAACACAGATTATTAATGCATACCTTTCCAGACATGTCAGACACCATCAGATAGTTTTCATCCTGAAGAAGACGCAAGGAGGAGATACTGCAACGATGGTGGAAAGAAATGGCTTTCTTCCAGCTAAATGGAGTAGAAGGAAGACGAAGATCAACAGCAAAAACCTCTCCCGATCGACCGCCATTGTAGAGCAATCCCGACTGAAAAGCAAAATACAGCACAGGTCGGTCCAAGAGTCAGAGATGATGGTTAGAACTATATCGCAAATAGATGTAATGCATTGTGCTTGCCAAGAGCAATGAATACATCTTATACACATTCACCTTTCCTTTTGGAACGACCAAGTCATACATTGTGGAATTTAATTAGCACCTCAGTCATACAGCAAGTCTATATTAACTACTTCATTCTGACATACTCTAAATTGTGGTGGTCCAAAAGTGGCAATTGTTTGAGATATAATTTTCCAGCATATCATGCTTAAAATCCCAATCATAACGAATGTAACCTGTGAATAACCATTTTGACGTTTCAATGTATTTCTAAATGCATACCTGCGTGGCAAACTGTTGAGCAAGGACATCACTTTCGGTCTTAAACGCTTGTCTGAAGTTTTTAACTATATTAACGAGCAGTATCTGTTGCCGTAAACCTAAAGAAGATACAAGGGTTAAGGAAAAAAAAAAAAATATATAGCATTAAAGGGACACTATAGTCACCAAAACAACTTTAACTTAATGAAGCAGTTTTGGTGTATTAATCATGCCCCTGCAGTATCACTGCTCAATTCTCTGCAATTTAGGAGTTAAATCACTTTGTTTATGCACCCTAGTCACACCTCCCTGCATGTGACTTGCACAGCCTCCCTAAACACTTCCTGGAAAGAGTCATCTATATTTTATCCTTCCTTTTATTGCAAGTTCTGTTTCATTTAGATTTACTTATCCCATGCTATGTTAATAGATTGCTAGACCCTGCAAGAGCCTCCTGTATGCGATTAAAGTACAATTTACAGAGAAAGAGATAATGACCATTGGAAAATTCAAGTCAATATACAGGTTTGACAGTCAGTAGAGCAGAATAATACAGACCTACTGCATAGTTGTTCATCTGATAGGGATAGTAACTCCACGCACAGGACCATGTGTTGGAAATTTTTACTTTGTAAAACAATTCAGGGCGACCATCTGAAGATAAATAAAAACAATAATAAAATACGCGAACACACTTGACATTTTAGACATAATTGTCAGAGTTGCATGATTTTGCAAAGGTGTTTATTTTATACAGCATTTGAAATGATTCAACTCAAGTTATTTTTCCTTAAATGAACTGCCAAAAGGATTTCCTTATATATATTTTTTTGTAATTTATGTTTCTATTGAGCGTATAGCATATTCGATTTTAGCAAAGGAACCAGACACAGGTACATATCGAGTAGAATTGTACATAGCAAAAAGATTCATGCGAATAGGCGCATCGATAAACCACCTCATTTTATGGATTAAGAAAATTGCAACAGCATTGACAATTTACAAGTAAACATCAGCACATATACACATTCTTATAACCACCATCGTAAGAATATCATGGCTACCACTAAGTGTTGAATGGCAAAAAAAGTATGCTATACAGTAAAAGAAGAATTAGCGAAAAGTTAATATCGTGTGTGACCACCAGTGTGATACAAGACCTCTATGGAGGCTCACAAGGGTAGGTCTGGCACAGCCAGTGAATAAATAGGGAGCCCCACATCTGTTTTTTTTTGTTTTTTGCTTAACCCCTTATGGACACGACGTGTGACATATCATGATTCCCTTTTATTCCAGACATTTGGTCCTTAAGGGGTTAAACGGGGAGCATAGCCTAGGGAAACAAACAAAGAATTGCATATTGTATGCAAAACAATAAAAGGAATCAAAAATGCAACTAAAATAAACTATCAACATGAGTGCAAAAGGCACATTGTAGTGCAGAATGTTTTCTGTGACAATTCAGATTTTGCAACAGGTAGGGAGAGTCCCAAGATAAAGGCCAATGCCCCTGAGATGCTTTTAAGTTGCTTTCTCAGCCCCCCTCCCCCCCATCGCGTAAAAGGTCATAGAAGCTCTTCCTTGACAAAGCCCCAGAAGACAAAACCGGTCAGATTCTAAAGCAATTTGGAGTTTCAACATATTCCAGCCTGGACTACTTGTAGAGAAAAATATTTTTTTCTTGCTGTTGAGAGATCCAGAACCATCACAGGAGGAGTAAAAAAAAACACAACTATTGGACATTCAGCTGGACATGGAGAAAATGCACCATTGGAGGCCTATTTGACCTAGTTATGTGCCCAATTTTCCTCTGTCAGTGGCATTTTGTTTGTAAGTGCAATATTATCCTTTTTTGTTTCTCTAGATTTTGTGTGATTTTATGCTATGGTCTACTTGCATGTTTTAGGTGATTAAAGCTTGAAGAAATTAACATACCTGGATCATTATAAGCATGTTGGTTTTTGAAGATCATTAATAGTGTACTTATACCCACCATTGGCTTTGGGGTTTTCACACATAAGCGAGTTACTATTATTTCTTTTTTTTTTACGTTACACGGTTTTTGGAGTGAACTGGTGTATGGGTGTACATTGAGGCACACACGATCTTTCTGGCTTTCTATTTTAAAAATGGACATATGTTTTCTGTGTCCCAGGGTAGTGTATAATATGTTTTCAGTGACAATGCAGATTCTGCAACAAGTAGGGAGAGCCTAAGGTAAACTCTGATGCAATTGAGATATTTGTAAGATGAAGGGGATTTCCGTTATGCTGTACGGTGAGTTGTCTTCACAGCCCCCATCGATGCTATAGATCGTTATTGCGTAGAAGGTTGGTGATAGGTCGTGGTGACTGCCTGCATTGTACTAAAGAGCAGGAAAAGTCCCCCTAAAATTAGAGCACGTGAGTCTCAAAAGGTATGGTCAGAGGAGCATCTTGTCACTGCCATTAGCGCTGCCCTGTTTTCCTCTGAACAGAACTGCACCAAAAGGCCCTTGGGGCATCCACAGGAGCTCTGTGAGAACAACCACATGGAAACGTGAGTCCGCCATAATAGATTTTGCTTTTGTGTGCGGCAGCAGGGAGGCCCACAGCCTTCTGAGGAGGTGAGGGATTTCTTATGAGGGCAGAGAGTCCCGAATAACTCGGGATCCTTAGGTTCCAGCGCATATCTTCCATAGTGGCAATTTTCAGCTGCTTGACTTCCGCAATTAAATCTCGATAACATCCTTTGGACTACTGTGTTTTCTTCAACCACCCTCATGTGGCATTACAAAATAGTAACTTCCTCCCAGAAAATGGATGGATCTGCTGTGAACATCACCTTGAATTCCATGAGCAAGGCTTGAATAACTGCCTTGCTTTCTAAGAATTTATTTCAGCAATGGGAGGTTTGGCCTGAACAGACAACGGTGTTAGGTACGTATTTGAGGCTCTTGGAGTTCTGACCCTTAAGGTTGCTGGAGGGATCTCCCAGCTGGTATCACTTTAGCTGACCGTACATGTGGTTGACACTGACTTGTCCCACGCACAGCATAAGGTTAGTTGGCTCTTTATCAGCAAGGTATGGTCTTGTCCGTTCTCTGGGAGTAAGATCGTCATGCTTCTCTCTTGTGCCTTCTTCTGAAAGCTCAGAAGAAGGCTCTCTTGGTGGTGCCAAATTAGTTGCATATGGTCTGGGAGTCAGGAAAAGCAAATCAGCTATTTGGTGTTTTTTTCATATAACGATCACCTTTTGCTGTTTTTGATTTGCGTCCCATAGTATCAAGTGCTCAGAGAAACAAAAAGAAAACCCAAAACTCAGCAAATGAGGGGCAACTATGTATATTATTCATGGAGCTTAGGAAAAACACATCTGCTTCTGTCAATGCAATAAACTAACCCCAATCTTGTCACTTAGTTTTCCTTTTATTGCTCGATTAGGTGGGAAGGCAGCCATTAGGTTAGCCTTCTAAAAACTGTATTTTCTAGATTTTACTTTATAAAATGGCCTGGCTTTCAAGCGGATCACGTGGGCTAATGTTAGTAAGCCATCATTACCTCCAGATAGAAATGGCTCCTCATAACAATGAAATACAGACAGGTATCCTAACATGCATTTACCAAATCATTTCATATAATGGGGAATTTCACAGAAATAGAGCAAATCAAAAATACACATTCGGCTTCATTCATGTCCTTTTAATATGAAGTGTAGCGGAGAACTGGTCTTTCACAGGTTAACTCCACTAAAGATCCCAGTAAGGCTCAGGAACAAGCAATAAAATACCATAGAGTAATAATCCCAACAAGCAAGGTAATCCACGAATATTCCCAGACAGATCCCAATGACTGGACGACACACAGCATCAGGAGCAGAACTAACATTTAATCCACACAACCTCCTTTTAAAGCATTCTCCCATGCAAGGGAGGGGTTCACCATAATTAGTCCAGCAGCCAATAATGTAACCGTTACCTCCCACACATCTCCTCCCCTCAGTGTGACACATAATCCTATTAAACATACTGTACTTTTCCCTAAATTCTAGATGTACCCCAAAACAAGCAGTGAGAATAATAATTTGGGTATCCCCTGGTAGCCCTGATCTGGGTGACTAACATATCCAAAATTCACCCAGATCAGACCAGGGGTTCGGGAGTTAGGTGGAGGGTGTAATTTGACCGACCGCACACTAGGTGGTATCCGAAAAAGGCTCCATGTGTTTTGGCTTTGCGGTCGGTCTCTGTTCGGGAGTTAAAACACATAGAAATACCTGCCACCCACAGCTAATCTTCCATTCATATTAATTCCCTTGTTCGGAACATTGATTTCACGAACGAGGTGCTGCCTAGTCTCTCCGTTTGTGCGTTACGGAGCTCTGGAGGTCTCAGCGGTGTTCGGTTGTTTGAGTGTCCGATTTGAGTTCCAGACACTCGACGACCAAACACCGCTGAGATTTCCATGCATAAGATGGCCGCCGCACATGGTTCGTATGCCGAATGGTGACCACACAGGCACATACAATGAATCAATTAAGCTGCGGTTTGCAGAATGTGAACGCTTAACGAGGCGCACACTTCTCACTGGGGTGGTCTGATGGTTCGGTAGTTTCATTCGTACGAAACTACCGAACAATCATAGGAATACTACATACACTTTACAGATATACAGGGAAACAATTATGCAAATACATTTTCTATACGAATTTCTATGGACTGCATCAATACAATCCGCTACATGAAGTCTAAAATGTTTGCATAGCACCCTTTAATTTAGGGAATAACTTACATTGTGCTTAGCGTTATATGTCACAATTCCACTGCCAAACTATTTATAGTTGCAATTGTGCCTTCCAAGTTTGTTTGGAATTTTATGTAGCAACTTAAAGGAACACCATAGTCACCAAACCAACTTTAGCTTAATGAAGCAGTTTTGGTATATAGATCATACCCATGCAGTCTCACATTTCAGAGTTAAAAATCACTTTTGTTTGTTTATGCAGCCCTAGTCACAGCTCCCCTGGCTGTGACTGGCACAGCCTCGAAGCAATAAGAATGGTTTCATTTTCAATGAGATGTTACTTACTTTAAAAAAAAAAAAATGTTATCTCCTGCTCTGTAAATTGAACTTTAAAAATCACACACAGGAGCTCCTGCAGGGTCTAGCAAGTTATTAGCAGTGCAGGAAGAAAATCTAAATTAAACAGAATTTATCATAAAGGAAGTTTAAAAATTAGATTACCCTTTACAGGAAGGGTTCAGAAAGGCAGTATAAGTCACATGTAGGGAGGTGTGACTAGGGCTAAGTAAACAAAGTGATTTACCTCCTAAGCGGCAGTGAGACTACAAGGCATGATCTGTACACCAAAACTCTATCATTACAGTTAAATATGTTTTGATGACTATATAGTGTCCCATTAATACAGCTGAAGTAAAATAGTTTCAATGTGTTAAAAAAACAAAACAGGTTACATTTTAAAACTATAGAAATGCAAGTTGTTACTTTGGATTCAAGTCTACCTTGAACGTAGAACATTAGCACATATTTCCTTTGTGGAGAAGGAAGTGGATATGGAAACACACACACGGCTTACCTGAGTTAGCGTCCATGTTTTTCAATAAACAAGCAGGGATGAGGCTAACACAACCCGGAGACTCTTGCTTTCCTTGGTGGCAAACTCTAGGCTGGCATTAAGGAACATAAGACATGGAAAGATAGAGCTTGCTTCCATCCCACCTCCAAGCAAGATAAAGTTCTCATGAGGTCTTCTTTACCAAACCTCTGGGAATCTGGATGAGTAAGAACTGCACTGATCGCACTACTCTGTGCCAATTCTTTTGCATTTCACAGTAAAAAACTGATTTGTGTCAGATGATTGTAGAGTGTACATCCTGATAGTTAACAGTGCAGATGATCTCCTGAACCCTTTAATTAAGCCAAAAATCACGTAAAAGCAGCTTCTAAGGTTGGTACATAGAATTTTGTAGACATTCCACTCGATATTTGGATGCCAAGTGGAGAGTAGGAGAAGCCTGCCATACTACCCCAGTATACAGTTTATTTTAATACATATATACATACACAAACTTAGGGTTATTCCCTAAACAAGGATTTGAGGAGAATTGCTAAAAATAAATAAATAAATAAATAAAATAAAAATAAAAAAAAGCAGCTATCCAATTCAGTTATATTAGCCAAAATAGGCAATTCCCTTATCGGTTCTTCACAGTTACTGGTTTCGTTCACAACTCAACTGTTTGAAACGGCAGCACAAAGCACACGGCTAAGAAAATATAAAATTGTATCATGTACATGTAATACAACAACAACAACAACAACAACAACAAAAAGATACAAAATATGAGAGTCAGGAGCAGTCATAGTTGCCCAACATGCTGCATTCACCTAAGGGGAAAGAAAAACCATTCAGTTTAGACATAATTACTTTGAAGGAATTCACATTTATACTTTTCACGTATTTGCAGTTTTTATCCATACTGTAAGATTGCAAAGTTCCGAGGCTTATGCTGGGCCTATATAGAACGTCGTACCTCTCCTGACACACAATGCGGTTTGGAAAAGCACATAGAAGATAACAATTCTGAAGATTATGCCTCTGCTGCAATTCTGTGGTTGTAGAGAGGGGAAATTTGACAAGTAAATGGACATAAAAGAGACAAGAGGAGGAGGCCCTGCTCAAACAAGCTTATAATCTATAAACTAAAAAGGTAGACACACGGTATTTTCCTGAAAAATAAAAATTAAAAAACCATATAAAATGCATATGGCTAGAACAGAGTCCTAGAAGAAGATAGCAGGCTGGAATCAAGGAAACTCTGGCCACTTATTATAATACATGGTCTACGTGGGATGAATTCGTGAACCACTCCTAAAGACAACATAATAGAGCAGGGATAGGCATTTTGGGTGTAAGAGTATTATGGGGGATGTAGTCCACAACATCTGGAGTGCCAAAGGTTGCCTATGCCTGTAATAGAGTATATTACCAATGTTACAGCTCCAGCACAGCTGGACTTCCCTACCCTCCCCTTTTACTCCCCCACCTCTTTTGTTTCATTGGTTCCATATTTTAAAGATGTCTCTGGGGAAGTAGTTGGAAAAAGCTATAAAGGCTTAATAAAAATAGATTTATTCTAATTTAGAGATCATAAAAACTTTCAAAACAAAGTTCTGTATCCAATATAACTACAACCCTTGTGAGCAAAATTGAGAGGATATTAGGTTAAAAGGTACTCGGCTGAGGTTTCATATGCCATAATCACCTTTCAGTTTCAGATCATTTTACTAAAAGGGACAGAAGGAGAGAGTGCTTGCTCGCCCTTTGGAATGCTCAAAACACTTAGGAGTATGTTCGGATGAATGTCTTGGCTATCCGCAGACACATAAGTACATAAGACAAGACTCACATGATATCTGTAGTGAGAGAAGAGACTTTGCTCTTCCTCTAATGGGGACCCATGTGTTTTGGAGACTAGAAATCAGGGCCTGACAACTAATACATTCTCTTTAATTCCTGGTTGCTTATGACATTGTTCAATATGGTCTTCTGGCTCTGTACAACCGAAATCCTCCTATACTATGGGAATAATGGCACTGTGGAGAATGAGGCATGTTCTTCAATCAACTGACCACAGAAAGGTTATCAATACACATAATCTTGTTCTCTACCTTCTGATTGGCAAAATATGGAGTATCGTAACTCTTCACAGTTGGCGACTTCTTCCACAAACCATTTAAACTCAACAGTCCAAATTTGCAGAAACCGTTATCTGCATCATTTACCGTAAACACACTCTTGTAGTTTGAGTCTGCCTAAAGAAAAAAAATTATATATAAAGTATATATGAAAATTAAAATTAAATCTAAAAATCCACACCTTTTCCTGGCACCTGATATCTTTTCCTCCCTCCTGCTGCCTTAGTGATTAGTTAATTAATCCATTGTGTGGCACCTCAACTGTTGAGATAAAAATTAAATAAATATATATTATATATTTAAAAAAAATAAATAAAAAGGGATGAAAGTGTTTAAGTGTCTATGAGAGAATCATTAGATTTAGATTTTCCGGTCTTCTGACTAATATAATAGGACTTGTGAGTGCCGCTAGCCATCTAAGCAGTGCAGCAATGTGTTATTCTATTTACTAACAAACTTATCAAATACAGAAGGCCCTAGGCTAGATTATACACAAATCTGTCAATTTGCCAGAACCCCAGCAGTGAAAACACTCACCTCTCCAAATTTATTATACCTTTTAACTTACCAACATTAATTCAAATGGGTGCTGCCCAGTCTCAACACCCTCCTCTGGGCAGTCGATTTGCACCTTTCTACTCATCATACAGCTCACTTTCAACTCGTGCATACGTCTGCAAGTGTAGGAAAATAGACTCAACCAATTTGCAGTGTGTTCCAATCAGCAAAACGCTAGGCACTCACATTGTATATTTGCATGTCCACAGGGCACAAGAAGAATATGAAGCCACAAAGAGTCTAACAAATGTAATAGTACATTTGCTAGTTCTTGGCCTATATACATTCTGTTGCTTCCTCCAAATGCAGGTCTCCTGTATAGTGTATGAACGCTGTGCTAAGGGAAAAGGGGGCAGATAATAAGAGGATGATGATGATGCCGATCTCTCATTGGCTGAAATAGGAATGCTTTCTAAAAAGAGGAGGCATGAATAAGGGGAAATGCTGCAAAGTTAATTAAACCCTCCCCCCCCCCCAAAAAAAAACCCTCTTGAAATGTGAACATGGAGAAATTTGATATATTTTTTTGGGACGGTTAAGTGAACACCACTTCAGAGCTACAATGTTGCTGAGAGTTTACTTTTAAACACTGAATAGACACTGATCTCCTGTACTGGACTCACCGGCAGTATGTAGTTGAAGGTATCATTCCAACACTTCTTTTCAAAACAAGCATTGATGCGTTCAATCCAGGCCTGGTTGATTTCTGGGTAGAAAAAAAAAAAAGAGAAGAAGTTGGAATGAAAGGAAAGTGGTCTGGCATAATGCAAGGGTGGGAGGTAAGAAAAAACAAAACAAAAAACACATATTCTAGATTCCTCTTTGACACTTAAACTGTTCCTTTAAATGGGGGACAGTCAGTCAATCTTAGAGACCATGTTTCAGACAATGTTTAACAGAAACATAACCCACGAAAGCTTGTAGATCTACGTTATCGACGAATACGTACAATCCTATTTTCCTCTTCTTTGAGCATCTTCAGTCTCTCCAGCTCCATCTGCTTTCGCTGGAGCATCTCTTTTGTAAGAGGGTTGCAATTGTTGTGTCCAGGGAGCAACCGAAAGTAGCGATTCTTTTCTGGGTCATAGTAAAATCCCGGGAGTTCTATAAAAAAAATTATAATAAAATAACCCAGAAAGTAGCAGTTATCACTTTGCAATACTTAAAGGAACACACACAAAGAAACAACAACAACAACAACAACAAAAAAAATCAAAAAAAAAAATCATACATTTTATGAATAATGAGCTACTGATTGGCTTAGAGCATCAGCAGAACGCACTAGCCAATGAGTGGGCCCCTGCCCAGCAGCACTCCGCACATCCTGAAACTCAGTTTCATAAGCTAGATGCTGTTGGGGACCTGGAGATCTGGCACTGGAGGCAGACTTTGGGGTTAAACCGTACGAGAATGGTTAACCTATTAAGACAAGAAAGCACCCGAGGGCCTCTTGGCACCATAAGAACTTTAAGAATGGAGCCCAATTTATAGTACTGTACTCCAACATCCATCTTTACTGAATGGATTTATTTAAACCTGTTCATGGATACTAGGAGACAAAGTGTGAGATACATAGCTGTACCCTAATTCAGGACACGGTTCTCTGAATAATAACATAGGCTGAAAAGAGACTTGTGCCCATCAAGTTCAGCCTTACTCCCATATGTTTTTGTTGTTGATTCAAAAGAATGCAAAAAAACCCAGTCTGAAGCACTTCCAATTGTGCAACAAACTAGGAAAAAAATCGTTCTTGACCCCAGAAAGGCAGTCAGATATCTCGATGGATCCAGACGAGATTACCCCACTAATTAGAAATGATATATTAGGCTTACCTGGGACAGATGATGACGACGATGAGGAGGATGATGATGATGATGCTGCACTACTGGATGAAGAGCACCCTTCGTTACTTGTCTGAGCAGAAACAGAATCTGAAGGTCTAGGGAAGGGGGTAAAAAAACAAACCAATAATTACATAGGATTTACATATATTTACATTTTCAGATATCTGAATGCATATTTTGCTACAGACAGAATTCCAGACTCATTTTCAAGTTTATCCCAAACAGGTAGATTCAGTTGGTTGTTACAGCCACGGTGAAGGTCAAAAAGAGCTAAAACAATTCCATTGTACTTTTACCACTGGAGATTAAAGGGTTATTCTAAACACCATCACAGCTTTGCTTGATTGCAAGGTTGGTAGTTCATACAGCACCCTCTCAGTTCTGTCTTTGGCTTAGGACTGTAGCAACTACAGCTTCTCAGAGCTGTCCGTCAGTCACACGCACTAACTGGGTTGAGCTCTGGCTCTTTCGAGGAGAGACAGTCGGACCACAGACTATGGCTATGATGAATAATACACATAACATGGTTAACGGAACAGTGAATTGAATGAAGCCTAATCTGGAAGCAGCTGTAGCATGGCTGCAACCAGTTTAGAAAGCAGTTCCACTGTATAAATGATGAGTGGAACTGCTCTTGTAGAATAAAAATGACTTATCCCTTATTTAACTCACGATCAGGCCCGGGGATACTCTTTGCCATTAAAGTGGCCCCCATATGGGGATCCGGTAATGATGCAGTTAGATTTCTGACATAGATACAATTTGTGCGCTCATACTTTTCTCGGACTACAGTCCACCCCAAATAGGATCTGTTAACATTTCACATATTGTAGCTTGGATGCCATGTATATTTACCTATGGACTCAGGCCTTATGGGCTTTGTATAAGTTGCATACTGGATATCTACGTATGTCATATTTAGATAATGTGCCATTCCATCCACAGGCAAGTAGCTACCACACCTGATACAGGGATTACCGCAATGTAACAGATTTACAAAAAAAAAAAAAAATACACATCACATAAATCCTGTACCGTGCAATGGAATAACAGTCTCTTAGTTATGGAGGTGTCTGCCTGTAGCGGTGTGGAGATAAACTAAGAATGCAAGGTAAGGGAACATTAAAAGTGTAAGATTTTTTTTCTCTATCATACTTTTTTTTGGGGGTGGATTATTAATATATTAAAGCAATACAAAATTGATGGTCAACTCACCGTATAATTTTTACTATCATATTGTCAATACCACTATTTTTATTTTCTATTATATAAAAAGATAGCTGAAATTGAGGACAAGTTATTAATTGTGGGCTTACTACTGTGTAAACATATTTCATGTCAATGGATGTGTAGAAGAGAGATTTTTAAACCAACCTTCAAATTATCCAGCAGTTTAAGATTAAAGGACTAACACAGTGTGCACAAATAGGGACCATACATAAAACTTGACTCATTTGACAAACTTTGAAAACCATCTTCAGAGTACCCGATCAAGAGATTTAAATGTCACCAGTATTTATATGGATTCTGAAAAAAAGCGACTGATCTGACCGTAAAAGAAAAAGCATCTTTGCCTGGCTGGTACAAATAAAGCATTAAGATGACATACAAAACCGAGAAAATAATTCACTCAACTTCACCTTCTATGTTGATATGGTCTTCTCCTCTTCAAATTCGTTCTTTTGGGGCCCATTGCCTCAGTCCAGCGAGCTCACGTAACTTGTTTACCTGGTGATCAAACATTACAAAATAAAGCTCTTCTTGCTTTAAAGATCATGCTTACAGGACACACACACACACGGTAAACACTTGCAGGACCCAAATGGTGAACAACTGACAGGATCCCCACACACACAGTGAGCAACTGACAGGACCCCCCACACACACAGTGAGCAACTGACAGGACCCCCACACACACACACACAGTGAGCACTGACAGGACCCCCACACACACACACACAGTGAGCACTGACAGGACCCCCACACACACAGTAAGCAACTGACAGGATCCCCACACACACAGTGAGCAACTGACAGGACCCCCCACACACACAGTGTGACGGAACACGGTGAATACTTACCAGAGAACTCAGAACAGGAACACATGGAGGACCTGTCACAGAGGAAACACAACAACACGTGGACAGATCGACGATACGGGGACAATATGCATCGAAGAGTGGACACCTCCTCCCGTCAGACGCAGCAGCAGCGACCTCTAGCGGAGGGGGGACTGGAGCGTCCTATTGACCTTACATGACCCTTGTACAGGGTGGGCAGGATAGGTGACGACGCCATGAGGATCCATATAGCACACTGCAGGTGGCCCAGGGCCAGGAGGATGGACTAGTGGCCACTACATTACCTTCTATGGGAACCTCTTACAGTGAGTTAGACTGCTAAGGTGGAAATAATGTGACCATGTACTGTGTGTGTAATGCTAATCATTATTAGGATATTCATTAAAAAAATAAAAAATAAATCCCAAGATATTTAGTGATTTAACTCTGAAATCGATATCTAAACAGCAAAACTGAGGTAAAATGGGCTGATATGGAACTATTTCAGCTGGACTGTTTTAGCCATTCAGATTTTAATTTGCTGTAAATTGGAAATTTAGGGGAAGAAATCCCAAAGTAAACGTCACATTTTAGACAAAGATAACCTAACTGGGGGGAAAAAATAATAAATTCATCTGTATTTTCAATTTGACCTAAAATCTGAATTTCACTTATGAAGTATTCCTTTAGCTTACACAAAGAAGCCGTGTGTGTATTTTAATGCTAATATCCCAGCTGCTTTAAAAAACAAAAACAAACATTTTTATACACAGAGTAAAGTTTAGCACTAAATTATGAATTGTCTGAAATTGGAAGTCATTTTAAATGATAGGAGAATATAGCAGCATTGAAACCCAGCTGAGTTTTGTCTTGGCTATTGTGGGTTAAATTGGAAACTCACTTTGGTCATTAACCATGTAGATGCAAAAACGTTATTCTGGGTAAAAATAAAACATAAAGGTAATGTATTAATATAGGGATATATATCCCTGTGGGTTCCTTTCTCTACAATAAAATGTGAATTTAAAGTAATTCTTTGGCTAAAATTTGTTGCTGAATGTGTTTTGTTTTTGTTTTTTGTTTTTAAATCATCACACGCCATCTCGTCAGATACGTATGTCCAGTACCTCCAATGGATAATTGGAAACAAGGTCCTTATGGTTTCCTCACCACCTGGTTTCAATCATATGAACCAGGCACAAGAAACACATTTGACTGTGTGATCTTAATCTGTGGCACAGAATGTGAACATTTAATGGGTTTATTCACTAAACTCTGAAAGGTAGCAAATTAAAATCTTAATGGCAACATATAGACTGATAAATATATCACTTTTTTCTTTCTCTGTATATCTGGTGTCCAGACCAGATTGGTTTTGGGTTGTGTGCCACGCCCCTCTACTTTAGATGCCTCTTTGGAGGTGACTACAGGGAATTAAAAATTTGAGGAGAAATTTTTATTAGCTATGTAAGTTTAATAATATGATATAGAGTGGACTTATAATATTGTCATTTTTTATATATATATATATATATATATATATATATATATATATATATATATATATATATGCTCTGTCTTTTTATTTAGTAATGGGACTTTAATATTTAAATTGTGTTTTAGCTCACATATACTTAAAACCAGGGCTGCCACCAGAAATTATGGGGCCCCTGAGGCAGCTCAAGGTTTGGGCCCGCCCCCAAGTCAGCCCACATGACCTGCCCCCAAATCCACCCACAGGGCCCATCTTGACTCCACCCACAAAGAAGGAAGTGTGTGTGTACACTGAATTTGGTTGTGTGTATAGTGGCTGTAGAATGTGTGTAATGGATGCAAAGTGTGTGAGTAAAGTGGTTTCAGATTGTATGTTTGTGTAATGGATAGAGACTTTGTGTAGAGTGGATGTAGTGTTTGTGTAGTGGATGATGTGTGTGTTTTAGTGGATGACGATGTATGTGGTTGTGTAGTGTATGCATTTTGTCTGTTTTATGTATGTGTGTGGTGGATGTGTGACAAATGCTGCTGGGGGGTATTTTTTAGCTGTTGAATTTTTATAATTTAAAAAAAAATATTCCCTGCCTCTCACCTGTAGCCAGGAGGAGGTAAACTGGATTCCCTGGTGGTCAGGTGGCTCAGCTTGTTGGGCCAGCATAGAGGGACCCAGCAAACTCCATCTTCCCCCTCCTGCAGCCAGTGCTCTATTTCTGTAGCGAGCCCAGCATGCATTTGGTGCCGTGGAGCGTTGTCGCGGCAACACTTTACAGCCGTCACTCACGAGAGTGCCGGAGGGGAAGGTCAGTGTGTCCTGGGCTCTGTTTGGAAGCCAGCAGGGCCCGCAGAGGTGTGTGTGTGTGTATGTAAATATATATATATATATATATATATATATATATATAAATATATATATATCACAAATAATGGCACTCACCTTTCCTGATGTAATGAATAGTAAAGTGCCCTGGTGCAATCTTTATGCTGATAAATAATTATATTGAAGAAAGATGCACTCTCCGGTCTTTTTAAGAATATTAATGGTCTTTAAGCCATCAAAGGTTTACAGGTTGTTTGATCATCGTTTCGACCCGTTCGGGTCTTCCTCAGGATCATATATATATCTCCTATACTAATATTGGCACTTCGGTAAATATGAGAAAAAAAGGCTGTAAAAAATTATCTTTGTTTAACCTTTTGAACTTTTGTTAAAGAAATACACAAAAATACTCTGGTCTCATGGATATCAAATATTTATATGATTTGTGGAAATGCGGCTGGGAGCTGAAATTCTTATTCCATAAACCATTTTTCAATCTCCCGATAAGTGCACTGTGAGTATATCAATGGAGGGGAACTGGCCAGCCTGGGTCTCTTATTGTGAGGGCCCAACCTACTAAATCACTGATGTTACTGGCACGTTCTCTTCTCCCCAACCCCTAACTGCCCCACTTTTATGCCTCCCACTGTTGGGAGGTATGTCTATATAATGCTTAAAGGGACACCAAAGGCACCCAGACCACGTCATCTCAATTATGTGGTCTGTGTGCAGAGCCCCTGTCATTTAAACCCTGTGATATAAAACATTGCTGTTTTGTAGTTTTGGCAATATTTTCACTGCAGGGTTACCACACCTCTAGTTGCTGTCTTCCTGACTGCCATTAGAAGCGCTTCCGCTGCAATAATCGAATATAACTAGATTATTAAATCAAAGGCTTCTGCTTGGCTGCACATACGCACTAGCGTCCCAATGGCTGAGATCATAAAGACTGATAATTACTTGGTGCATCATGCTTCAGAATATATGGTAAGAAAATCTTACCTTTTTAAAGCAACATGAGGTGGGTTGGATATGTAATTGTTGGGAATACATGCTTGTATTTCTAACACTACAGTGTTCCTTTAAAATATCACTGATTTTAAATATAAAAAGAAGTTAATCAGGTATGTGGTATATTCATTTTGTTGACTAACAATTTTAGTCAACTAACAATTTTGAGATTTAGTCGACTAAAACTAAATCAATTCAGATGACTAAAATGGCTTTTTAGTCAAAAGACTATGATTTAAACTAAAATTAAAATTTGCAGCCAAAATTTACACTGGTGGACAAAACACATGGGGAAGGGAGGAGAGGAAATGAGACACATGGGTGGGGGCTGGAGGAACGAAACTCATTGGGGGGCTGGGGGAATGAGTACGTGGGGCAGGTGAGATGCATGGAGGGGCTGGGGGAGAAAGAGACATGGTACGTGGGGGAGGTAAGATGCATTAAAGGGGCTGGGACACACACAAAGTGATATAAAAGGGCTGTGGGAGAAAGAGACACGGTGCTGGGGGGGAAGAGACACACAGATGGGACTATTGAGAGAGCGAGAAACCCAGAGGGATTGGGGGACACAAAGAGACACGGAGGGGCTGTGGAAGGGGCAAAAGAGACAGACCGGCGCTTGGAAGAGAGACACCAAGAAGGGCTGGGGGGACACAAAGAGATACAGAGGGGCTGGGGAAGGGGCAAAAGCGACAAGCATGGGCTTTAACTTAATCCATTAAATTCTACTGGAGATTTAGTCGAATAAAAACTACTGGAATAAAATTAAAACACTTCAGATAACTAAAATACGAGTAAAACTAAAATGTCTTTTTAGTCAAACGAATATGAGTACAACTGAATTGAAATTTCCCGCCACAATTAACACTGATGTGAAGATACTGCAGTTAGCAAGCTTGAGCATTTGTGAAATATGCTCTTTCAACACTAGATGGCAGACATATTCTCATCATCGTGCTTTACTGAATAAAAACCCAAATATCTACATTGTATACAGTCCATATTGTATTCACATCAGTGCCATATTAATGTAGCGGCTATTGGAGCTGAAGCTCAAGACCCATACACTACAGTAGGCCCAAACGGCCTCATTATTTATTTTGTGATATGCTGCTGCTAAAATGTTGTGTGCCATTGTCACATGTAATTAACTACCATAACTGCCTGTAACATCAGTTCTTTGCAAGGTGCTGTCCCTTGGCCTTCTCCCTTAATTTTCAGTTTGCAGCCATATATTAACCCCTTAAGGACCGAACTTTTGGAATAAAAGGGAATCATGACATGTCACACATGTCATGTGTCCTTAAGGGTTAAACCATACCCATATACATTTACAAAGTCTAGTTGCAGATGGGGTCAGACACATCTAAGGACAAACAAAACAGATACACAAATTCAAATGTATTGAGACCCAGACAAATTTTCACTATAAGGCCAATGAAGCCCCTAATACATGCTATCTGTTAATTCCAAAACAGTGAGGCTTAATTACTTAAACTTGAAATGTTTGGAAATTTTGCTATTTGATCTACATTTGAATCTGACTGGTCCTTGTTAATGTATATTCCTAACGCTATAGTGCCTTGTTCAAATTTTAGGTCTCCAGCTTCCCCTTGTAAAATGTTAAATAGAAGTTGTTTTACCTTTTCTGCCTCGCAGCGCTGTTGTCCGCTCTGCTGTCCTGCCTCCTTGGCTGACTTCATCAAGACCATCCCATACTAAAGCATTGGGAGGTTAGTGAACCTGCGCAGCAAAACATTGTTCTGCACCGATCAGATGGCCTCTATGAGTTTTACTATGCTGTTTCTGAGGAAGTGTACAAAGTGTCCGCTGTGGTGACAGCCACTAGAGAAGGGCTCGACAAATCCCAGGCGACCAGGAATGTGTGTCTGTCTTGAAATGTGCGTGCACCTGTCTTTGTGTGTGTGTGTTTAGATGACCAGCCCCCTCTGTTCACATGGGAGTAGTCTCCCTGCGGCTGGCCCTGCCTGTATGGCTGAGATAATCACGCTTTACAATCTCTGCCAATCCAATGTTTTCCCATAGGAAAGCACTGAGAAGCTATAGTGCGTGCACCGCAAAATTATGCGTCAATCAACATCTCCTCGTAGAGATGCATTGAGTCAATGATTAGATTCAAAATAAATTTTAGATTCAAAATAAATTTGTCAAGCCCTGCACTAAAGGCATTTAAACCATGCAATGTAAACATCGCTGTTCTGCATAATAGCAGTGTTTACATTGCAGGGATAAAACAACAGGGACATAGACCACTGTAATAAGATAAAGTATTCTGTGCTTTTATGGTGTCCCTTTAAAAAGACAGTACAGTGGGACCTCGGTTTACAAATGCGTTCTCCGGGACATTTCTTATTGCGAAAAATTAGTAAACCGAAACTCTGTTTCCCATAGGAATGCATTGAAAACCAATTAATCCGTTCTGGAGGTCAGAAAAAAATCAAAATGAGCTGGCATGGAAACCAACCCACAATGCAGAACATAGAGTAAAAGGCATGCAAACGACAAAGCTCAGCTCCCTGCCTTTCCACAGCTTGAGAAATGCACCAAAAAGTCCCAAAACAACTGCAAACAATTTCCAGAATGGCTCCAAAACTCAATGCAAAAGCTGCTCCAACACCTCCACACTCGACGCCACGTGCTACCCACAGGCTCCAGCATGCAGGGGTCGGTGCTATAAACCTCCCAGGTGCAATGCATCCTGGGGAAACTTGCTTTGTATTGCGAATTTTTTTTGTAAACCGAGGCATTGTTTTCAATGGATTTTCATTTCTAAACCGAAAATTATGTTAACCGAGGCGATTGTAAACCGAGGTCCTATTGTATAGGCACCAACACATCTTTAGAATAATGAAGCTTGATGCCCTGCAGTCTCACTGCTCAGTTCTGCCATTTAGGAGTTTAATGTTTGGTTTATCAGCTCTAGCCACCCTTCCCTGCATATGATTTGCACAGCCTTCCGAAACACTTCCTGTAAAAACATATCTAGTTTATAAACTTTTTTTATTGCGCATTCTGTTTAATTTAGAATTTCTTATCTCCTGCTCTATTAATAACTTATTCAAGCCCGTAGGAGCCTCCTGTGTGTGATTAAAGTTACATTTTCAGAGTAAGACATAAAAACCACTAGAGCAAGCTAGTATCTGATTTGAAAATTAAACCATTTTTTTTTTCATGCTGGCTGTGTGAGTCACAGCCAGGAAAGGTGCAGCTAGACCAGTATAAACAGAAATGAAAGTGATTTAACTCCTAAATGGCAGCGAATTGAGCAGTTAAACTGCAGGGGCTATGATCTATACATCCAACCAAAATTGCTTCATTAGAATAAAGTTGTTTTGATGCCACTGGGGCATTTGGCTCTGCTTCGCCTATTTTGCTGAGATCATCAGAATTGACGATTCAAGTTAAGCGAATGCTTTCCTATGGGAAAGCATTGGATTGGCAGAGATTATCATTTCTGATGATGTAAGACAACTAGGCAGATTGGGGGCGGAGCCAGCACAGGGAGACATGTGGGCCTGGAAAAGAGGTAACATTTCCATCTTTTTTAAGGGGGGATAGGGGGCTAACATTAATTTTTTTTTTTTTTTTTTTTTTACCTCAAAGGTCAGGAAGACACCTTTTGTGTTCCTGACACTATAGTGTTCCTTTAAGCTTTCCAAAGTGCTTTATGTATTTGGAGTCTGTCATATTTTCTATTTCAACAGAAATCAGCACTTATATAAAACTTTGCTGACTCTCTCCATCTGTCACTCAGATAGCCGCGGAGCCTTTCTTCTGCTTTATTTCTAACAGTGCATCGCTGTACAACTAAGCTCATCTCAATGTGAATGTGATGTTGGGCAAAACTGAGTGATCTTCATTTGGGTGGTTCTGCTGCAGAGTGAGCATCACTTAAAATGGCAGCTCCCAGGGCACGGGAAAGTTTACAGTTTTCCTTTAAAACATGTAAATACTCATACACTAACACATGCTAGCGTGTGCTCGAGCAGTGTGCAGAATGCATCAAGCAGTTGGATGGCGAGTAATGAGCATGCCAACACTATGAGTCTCATCCACTTCCCCCCTTCCTTTTGTGGTCTCTTCCCCTCCCCCGCACCCTCCCTTTGTGATCTCTTCCTTGTAGTGTGCACCCTAAAGCACAAGCACACGCCTCATATATATATATATGTATGTATGTGTGTGTGTGTGTGTGTGTGTGTATATATATATATATATATATATATATATATATGTATACACACACATACACACACATACACACACTGGTGTGTGTGTGTGCTGTGTGAGGGTGCTGTTAGTGTGATGTGTGTGTGTGTGTGACTGTGCTGATAGTGTGCTATGTGGGTGAAGGTGTTTGTGTGTGCGCACTTGTGAGGGTGCTGTTAATGTACTGTGTGTGAGGGTGCTGTTTGTGTGTGTGTGCGCTTGTGAGGGTGCTGTGTATGTGTGTGTGTGTGTGTGTGTGTGTGTGTGTATATATATATATATATATATATATATATATATGTATACACACACACACACATACACACACTGGTGTGTGTGTGCTGTGTGAGGGTGCTCTTAGTGTGATGTGTGTGACTGTGCTGATAGTGTGCTATGTGGGTGAAGGTGTTTGTGTGTGCGCTCTTGTGAGGGTGCTGTTAATGTACTGTGTGTGAGGGTGCTGTTTGTGTGTGTGTGCGCTTGTGAGGGTGCTGTGTATGTGTGTGGTGCTGTGTGTGTGTGTGGGTGCTGTATGTCTGGTGCTGTGTGTGTGGGTGATTGTGGGGGGTGGAGGTGGGGGTACATTACTTGATAACCCCCCTCCCTTCTTACCTTTTGTAGGGAGGGGGGATCGTGCTGCTGCTTTCCCTGGTGGTCCAGTGGAGAGTGAACTCTAGCCCCTGTGGGCCTAGAGTTCACTCTCACGAGATTTGAGTGGCAACGCTCATATCTCGCGAGAGGAACCCGGCAGAGCTGCCGGCAGTAGCTCCCCGGGTCCTCTCCTGCCTCCCTCCCTGCATGTGGGTCGGTAGGGAGGGAGGCTGAGAGGCGCCGGCTCTGCCTGAGCCGACAGGGGAGATCCTGAGATCTCCCCTGCTGGTCTCAATATACATACGTGCCGCGGGGATTAGGATGTGCCCAGGCACACCCGGCACACCCCGTGCGCACGCCTATGTCTATAGTGGTATGCTCTGCCCTTGCTACATGTAGTGACTAGCAGGAGGAAGTGATGTGCTAATTCCTCCCCTCTTGCGTCCCCAAGACACTGCGTCTTTGACAGCTGCCTGTGCCGCATTATAGTTGTGCCAGCTCTGCCCTTGTGCCATCCCACTGTAAGCTGTCTGTACTTTTACGAAAGGTTTAACGCTTACCTGGCTCTGTTGGGACTCGGGAGCATGTGAAGGGAAAGTTTAAACTTCCTCATTAGCATATCAACTTTAACCATTATTCATTGGCTGAGTGTGTTAGCTAACTCTTATTTTGCATGGATTTATTTGTATTACAAAAATGGCAGATAAGATGTTTAGTCCAGCTTGACCCAACATGGGAGCCTCCTGGCAGTGATAATGTAAGATTCCGGAATGGAACTCAGCTGTGGAGATAAAATCCACTACTGATTCTAGACCTGGGTTCTGTTTCACACACGTCTCCCCGTATGAATGGAGCTTTTCAAGCATTACTCTCACAGGGCTGAATCCAAGCAATGAATCTCCCTGTTCCCAGAAACAAATACCTTGAACTCTGAGACAATGTTAGTAATTCTTTTTTTTATTTTATTTTTTTTAAAACCCTATGTTATCAGTGTAGCATGGGAACAGCAAGTGTGGGGGGTAAGCATGTTTTGGTTCTTGCAGAAAAGGGATATTAAATCTAATCTCATGGGAACAAGAACAACTTTGATTGGAAACTGATCTTCATTACTTTTAAGCTTATTATACGCAAAAGTGATACATTTAAAAATATTAAAGGGGGGAAAAAAGACACATTTAACCCCTTACGGACACATGACATGTGTGACATGTCATGATTCCCTTTTATTCCAGAAGTTTGGTCCTTAAGGGGTTAATGTTCCTGGAAATCTCATCTCATTAAACTTCTTACTCTGTTTTCAATCTCTATAGCACGGTCGAGCTTTGCCTTTTCTTTAGAACAAGGGTTTCTGGAAGTTGCAGTTTTCTGCTTTGGATAGCTAACAGCTGCAAGCAAACTCTCAGAACCCTAAGCCATGACAATATGTATGCATCATCATCTGTTGATACAAATTATGCTAACAGTATGTAGAGTCGACTGCAATCCATATACCGATCAACAAAACAGATTTAAAGCGAGTTCACTTGTAAAGGAACAACACAGCTCCACCTCAGGAAGTATGAGGTTTAGTCTCTAAACCGGGATTTGTGAAGAATTGTAAAATAATATTCCAAATCCGCTATGTTAGCCTAAAATTTGGGATTTCTGTTGCAAGATTATTCAATAAAATGTGAGTTATCTGCGATCCAAAATGAATTAAAATGTTAACATTTTTAAAATTCTTTATGCCATATTGTTTGATTTAGTGGTTAATTACCAGGTTTCCTATGCAATAATCCCTTTTATGGTTATCTGCTTTTTAAAAAAATCTTGTTTTAAATTTTTTTTGTAACGCCATATAACATTCAAGGAGCACATCAAATACCTAAAGCATTTTTGCACGCTGAAGTGCTCTATTTGTGTTTTTCATTTTGCAAAAAGTGCAGATTTCAGTAAAATTTGACACTTTAATAAATTATCCTTGTTACACCTTCATCGCTGTTAAACCACCCTGTCCTTTTACTTCCTGGTTATTTAGCTCAGTGGAGCTAAACGTAAGAGGCAGCAATTGCAAAGACTTCTCATTAAATTGTATTGGGAAGTCTGTGATTGGACAAGCACAGAAAGTCTGGGCGGGGTTAGAAGGGGAAGGCTTGCATAGGATGCAGATAATAGACCTGCAAGCTGTTTTTAGATATAGATTTTATTGACTGAATTTTGTCATTTTTCTTTACCATTTCTAGTGAAATTCTCATTTAATTTCTCCACCTGTGTTCCAAAGAACTTGTGTAAGTAGTTACAAGAGTTTCCTTGTTTAATAGATCTATGCCTGCTGTTTGGCTGAATGTTTTGAATAACATGTTCCCCAAAAAGACATTTGCCTTTACAGATTTTTTTTTTTTATTCTTTATTTTTGGTATGCATGTTAAAAACAAATATTGCAACATATACAGTTGCAAGAAAAAGTATGTGAACCCTTTTGGAATGATGTGTATTTCTGCACAAATTGGTCATAAAATGTGATCTGATCATCATCTAAGTCACAACAATAAACAATCACAGTCTGCTTAAACCAATAACACACAAAGAATTAAATGTTGCCATGTTTTTATTGAACACACCATGTAAACAGTCACAGTGCAGGTGGGGAAAGTATGTGAACCCCTAGATTAATGACATCTCCAAGAGCTAATTGGAGTGAGATGTCAGCCAACTGGAGTCCAATCAATGAGATGAGATTGGAGGTGTTGGTTACAGCTGCCCTGCCCTATAAAAAACACAGTTCTGGGTTTGCTTTTCACAAGAAGCATTGCCTGATGTGAATGATGCCTCGCACAAAAGAGCTCTCAGAAGACCTACGATTAAGAATTGTTGACGTGCATAGAGCTGGAAAGGATTATAAAAGTATCTCCAAAAGCCTTGCTGTTCATCAGTCCATTGTAAGACAAATTGTCTATAAATGGAGAAAGTTCAGCACTGCTGCTACTCTCTCTAGGAGTGGCCGTCCTGTAAAGAGGACTGCAAGAGCACAGCACAGACTGCTCAATGAGGTGAAGAAGAATCCTAGAGTGTCAGCTAAAGACTTACAAAAGTCACTGGCAAATGCTAACATCCCTGTTAGCGAATCTACAATATGTAAAACCCTAAACAAGAATGGATCTCATGGGAGGATACCACCGAGGAAGCCACTGCTATCCAAACAAAACATTGCTGCACGTTTACAGTTTGCACAAGAGCACCTGGATGTCCCACAGCAGTACTGGCAAAATATTCTGTGGATAGATGAAGCCAAAGTTGAGTTGTTTGGAAGAAACACACAACACTATGTGTGGCGAAAAAAGGCACAGCACACCAACATCAAAACCTCATCCCAACTGTGAAGTATGGTGGTGGGGGCATCATGGTTTGGGGCTGCTTTGCTGCGTCAGGGCCTGGACGGATTGCTATCATGGAAGGAAAAATGAATTCCCAAGTTTATCAAGACATTTTGCAGGAGAACTTAAGGCCATCTGTCTACCAGCTGAAGTTCAACAGAAGATGGGTGTTGCAACAGGACAATGACCCAAAGCATAGAAGTAAATCAACAACAGAATGGCTTAAACAGAAGAAAATACGCCTTCTGAAGTGGCCCAGAGTCCTGACCTCAACCCGATTGAGATGCTGTGGCATGACCTCAAGAAAGCGATTCACAGCAGACATCCCAAGAATATTGCTGAACTGAAACAGTTCTGTAAAGAGGAATGGTCAAGAATTACTCCTGACCATTGTGCACGTCTGATCTGCAACTACAGGAAACATTTGGTTGAAGTTATTGCTGCCAAAGGAGGTTCAGCCAGTTATTAAATCCAAGGGTTCACATACTTTTTCCACCTGCACTGTGAATGTTTACATGGTGTGTTCAATAAAAACATGGCAACAGTTCATTCTTTGTGTGTTATTAGTTTAAGCAGACTGAGATTGTCTATTGTTGTGACTTAGATGATGATCAGATCACATTTTATGACCAATTTGTGCAGAAATCCATATCATTCCAAAGGGTTCACATACTTTTTCTTGCATCTGTACACTGAACATGTGGCAAAGAATTGACTTTGTTAGTATATATAAATCAGCACATTTTATGAAAGATCAAATACAAGAGGAACATAGTGCAGATTGAAGTGGACGTTATAGAAGGGAGGAAACAGAGTTAGCGCTATAGAATAGATATTGGTTACTGTAGAGGCAAACACACAGCTTGTCTATTAGTAACAATCACTAGGAGACCCCCGCCAACAGGCTATAGATGTAAACCCTACATGGAGATAGTGAACTATAAACTGTTGGACTGCTTGACAAGTGCGATCGGTAGATGTTCTGCTAAAAGTAAGTGCATCTGGGTTAAGCACCGATGACAGCCTGTGCCCTGCAGGGGCTTAACACTGTCCCTTCATGAAAGTTCCGGTAGTAGGCCCAAAAGCACACTTGAGTAGTGGTGAGTGGTTACTGCGTGGGAATCGGGTAAGTATCGTGACGACATCAGCAGTCCCCTCAGTGACTCCAAGATCCAACGTGATGAGAGATCCAGTTTCACAGCTTGCACTGCCAGTCCCATGTTGGGTCTCATTCTGTGACTTTCCCTTGCATCTTGCCAGTTCACAGGCCTTCACCTTGCACCTTGCCAGTTCACAGGCCTTCCCCTTGCACCTTGCCAGTTCATAGGCTCTCAGCGCCAATTGCTAATTTTCGTACAGCAGATCTCCGCTTTGCCCAAAGTGGTT